TTTTTTTTTTTTTTTTTTTTGTTGATTTATGACACTGGGTTACTTTGGCGAGCGACACGGACGAAAAACAGTTATTCTATTATTTCATTTGGCCGCTACGGACGCACCGCTTGGGAGTACCCTTTTGAAAAGATAAATGACCGCGGGGAAACAAAAAGATTATAACTACGGTTTACGGATGAGGTGAAAACGGCCGGGAGTCCCGTTAAATTGAATTTCTTTTATCAATATAAAAGTAATTCAATTTAACGTCTGTGTTGGTCATTGAAATCGGAACGATAGATAAAAATATCAGCGGCGGTGTGTGTCCGATGGTATCGTCGTAGCGAAACGATATTTTTATCGGACCGGGAATCATTGCGAAACCCGTCTATTTGAAACCGTATATTAAACACGTTTTTTTTTTTTTTCATCTAGACCGCGGATATCGAAATACGCGATAGGACGCGAAACAAACGAGCGCGTGTTATCGGCGAGTCACTTCTCACTCTACCGTAGGGCGCCGGATGGCAGTTTTCACGTATAAACCGTGTAGGTAATTATCTCGAATAAATTCTAGATAGACAGGGCTAATGGGTTGTAAGCTGGGGAACGGGCTAAGGAGTAATTTTTAAAAATTGTTTTCCCCTTTCATTGCCCGTTGAAGCACGTGTAAATTTCAAGTGGCTATACGGTTTGGAACGGCCCCGTATTTGAAACGAATAAATCCGGGATCGCTAGACGTCCAAGGACTGCGGGGACACTTCAGGATGTGTACGAGCTCCGGTGTCCGGCTCTCGTCGTGACCTTTAATTGTACAACCGCGATTCGTCGTGTGCGAAACCGCGTGTATCGTTGAGTACAGGTAACGGGAGACAAAAAGGTGCGACGCGAAAACGTCCACACGACGGAATTACGAAAATATTTCGAAAACCAATGGTCGTTATCAATAATGTCCGATTGTCGTACGCTTAGACCGCGTGTACTATGAATGGAACCACGGCTGTACCTCGTGTAAGACGAGTCGTACGTCGCCAACATATCAAGAAGACGTGTTGCAGCTATATCGCACAAGCGGCCCATCTTTTTTCGGACCGTATTAGAGGGGAGGAGTGCAATGGGAGGGGGGGGGGTGTTCGCTCCGGAGTGCCAGAGCTTTTTAAAACTACGGGGGTGAGGGGGGGGGGCCCGGCTCGATAAAAAAAACTCGAAACCAAATTGGCAATACATCAATACAATATTGTCACTCGTTTAATTTTCAAACGCTTTGCTTGGAGTATAACGTAATGAATTTTATTTGATAATATCGTAGAAGAGCGTGATAACGTACAGTGAGAGCGCGCAGAAATAAAATTCAGGACCAAGGAAGAATCGTGTTGGCGACAGTAAAATGCCGTTGTAATTTTAATGCGAATTCAATACAATTATTGCGCGAAAACAACAAATTTTCCGGGGGTGGGGGGATTAATCTCCCGAATCATTCCCGGGCAATGTCCCGGTAGAGGGTCGCTTGAAAATCGACGATTCTAGGTGCCGAACAGTTCGCCAGGGGGGAACGGGTGCGGTAATATTTTTCGCGTGGTACGCTCGCGTATTATGGTGACCAATGTATGGCTCGTATGCATATGCATAATACACGTATAGCGGCAAGTGAGAGGCGATTCCCGTGTGCCTGAAAACGACGGGAACAACGCAGTCGGGTGCGTACATAATATACAAAATATATCTGACCCTCCCCTTGGGGCATTTTGAGAACCGCCCTCGCTGCGGGGGGCGAAAACAAGCGCGCTTACCGGTTTAGGTGCCGAAACGAAAAACGTCTGTAATACAAACACAATTGTGTTTCAGTGTACCGACGGTATTCGCGTATTCGTTTTCGGCGCTCGATAACGTTATTCGTCATTATAAACGTTTCGCCCATTTCAAATAAGTCTATCGAGGTGCCGAACACATCGGTTTCGCGCGTCTTTGCAGGAAATCAAATAAATAAACCCTCGAAACAAACGAATCTGCAGCAGAAACGATTTCGGTAAAACTCCCATTAATTGACACATCCCCGTAATGGCGGACGGTTTTTTTTTTTTTGGGGGGGGGTTGGGGGAGAGCCGGGACCGTTTTCAATACTTTTCAATAGCGGAAACTTCCGAATATACCGGACTCCGATACGAGGGGAAAGAGATTGTCGCCACGCGAACCACTTTTAATTCTTTCTCGACTTCCGTCAAAGCAACGCGTGGTGTTCGCGTGTGCAAATATACGAACATAGGAACTGGCAGAGAAATTTCGCTTCGAAAAACCGTCGACAATATAGCGGGCACGCGGTTTACAAAGTCGGGGACACCGTACACGTTTCTCGCCGTATCGAATGAACTGATAGATTACGGCGGTTGACGCGCCGGATCGGTTTCTTTGCGTTCAACGCGTAAGACCCCCCCCCCACACACACACACACACACACCCGTGAACGGCGGACGAAATTCGGGCGACCGCCAGCGTGTGTGCGGAGGAGGTTCCAGTGCGTACGCGCGGATTACGGGATCCGGGGGTTAAGGGAATCGCCGGAATCGCCGTAATCGACAATACTGTCGCGACCCCGGGTCTGCCGCCGCAGCGGTCGGCGGGCCCGCGCCGCCATTACACGGTAGGCGCCTACAAACGTACGGACACTTTTCGTTTCCCGTTTCGTCTTCTCCGCGGCAATGTACACGACGCGATAAACCGCGTGAATCCAGTGTCCGACGGCACGCGGATCCGAAACGCGCGCGGGACACCGCGGACGGGGAAACGAGAATGGTAAAAAACAAAAAACAAACAAACCGCGACACGCTTTTGAAAACCAACGGCGTACGAAAACCGCGGAGACCCGACGCGAGAAAAGCACGCGCCGCCGCGATTTATTCGCTTGTTGCCGCCCGCCGCGCCGACGGGCCGCGTCCGTAAATTATTACGGTTCCCGTGCGCGCGCGCATATCGTGGGATCTCGACGGGACGCCCGGAGGACACAACGGGACGAGTGTATGTACGCATACTCGTGTCCGGGGTCGTCGGCGAGCGTCTCCGAAACGTTTTAGACGGCGCGTTGTCGTGCGGCCGTTCGAAACGTTCGAAAATCAAATCGAAACGGCCGATCGCGTTCCGACGACACGAACCCACGCCCATGCCCATTTCCCTACATATCTCTCGTTCCGAAAATGAACACTTCCAGTCGCAATATTGTACAGGCGCTGTTTGGAATAAAATTCCCCACCGTCCCCGATGTCTGTTAATTTATTAACACGCGCGTTACGGTGTTACGGCATTTACGCGAACGGAATACTATTGAACGCGAAAATTAAAAACGACCGTTTTTCGTTTTTTTCGCGCGTTAACGTTACGAGTAAAAACGTTCGGACGACGAACGGCTGTGCAACGTAACGTAACGCGAACGTTACACCGTCGTCGCCGTATCGTAACGCAAACGCGGCATCGAGACGTGCATGCCAAATACACTATGTGCGTGTAACGGCTTAAGGCCGGCGGCGACCGACTCCGGATCGGAACCCCCTACCCCGCCCCTAATTGGACCGCGCAAACGTTTCGGCGTTCCGACACCGTTGTGTCCCGGACGTACGAAAGCTCGCGGAAAACCGACCGACGGGACCGGCCGTCGCCGACGACAACACGCACCGTCCGCGACACGGACGCGCGGAGACGTTTCGGTTGCGCACGGCGGAGTTGCCCCGCCAGACCCCTTCCGGGGGGTGTTCCCTCTCACTCCCACCCGCTCCCGCCAATTCGAATTCTCGTGAAAATCCCGATGCGACGCGCGTCGCTCGTTACCCGTGGCACGGGTATTTCCGGAGGGCCGACGAAACGGCCGATGCACACCGCGTTCTCGAATGACCGCGGTGTCCCACGCAAGGCGACCGGCAACCGTCTATCGGGTTACCGCCGACCGGTTTCCGTCGGTGTTTTACCGTGTGCCGGGGCATTTCTGTGCCGTACGGCATCGCGTTCGGCCCGCTACGGTAACGCCGTAAAAAAAGCGATACGCCCCCGATCTCCCATCGGACGTACAAAACGCAACGTTATGGTCCGCGCAGTACTCGGTGGCGGTTCTACAAAAGGCGGGTTCCGGATGCCGCGGTCGCGTCTGGGCGAACGGCCGCGGCGCGACAACCGAGATCGAATTCGCTCGCGCCGGTCGACCGTGGCACCGAAGGCGCGCACTCTGCAGTCGTTAACGATGCGGAAAGACGCGTCCAGTACGCGCGCGCGCGCGCGAATATATGTATACATAAGTGAATATAAGTACGAAAAATATCGTTGCGGTTACCTGAACGGCGCACCGCGTGATTGTGGTGTACGGGTCCGGGCGCGGTGAATTCTCGCCGGCAAAATCAACGCGACGTGTATTAATGTCGTACTGTGACGGTGTTGTCGATGACGCGCACGGCGTGCGGTGCCGGTCGCAGGCTGCGGCGATGACGGTTGACCGCGGCGGCGTTACGCGTGTTTCGGCGGCCGTGCGTACGCGTACGTTTCCGGACGGCGGAACGGAACGAAAAAAACAATAAAAACGAAAACAAACAGAAATCAAACGCGATAAACGATGTGTGTGTGTATACACGAATGCCGCGCCGTGTATTAATACCGAGCGTACAATAATATCGCGGGCGATGTCGTATTGTCGTTATGCGACGTGTGCGCGACGCGCGACCTCTTGGACCTGACTGGAGAGAGCGCGCGGCGGACCAGGCGGCCGATGCGACGGCCGGTCGGCCGACGTGCGCGTCGCCGCGCCGGGCGGCGGGAGGGTGCGGCGCGAAGGAGGGGGCGGGGAGGTGTGTTGGGCGGTGGGAGAGGCGGCGGAGGCGGGCGGCGTCGTCTGCGGCAAAAACGCGATCGCGGTCGGTCGGCCGGCGGCGCGGCGGACCGTTGGTCGGCGCGTTGCCGCGCGGCGGAGGGGGCCGGAAAAATGGCGTCGGCCGTCCCGGCGCCGCCCACCGGGCCGCCTAGCCGCCGCGCGGGCCGCGGCGAGGGGCGACGGTCGCGAGCGACGCGCGCACGCCAATGGACGACGACGACGCGTGTGGTCCTCGCCGGGTTCTATTATGCGCGCCGCCGCCGCCGCCGTACGTACCGCGCTCGTAATAAATCGCGTAACGAAAAATTAAAAACCTCGGACCGCGTCTCGCCGCTCCCCGCAGCGGCGGCCGCGGTCGCCCGTACGCTCGCCGCCGTGTATTTTTATATTACTGTGCGTTCGTACGAGACGTGTCGTTGTGTGTAACGCGCAACACAATAATATCACGTGTGTGCGCGCGCGCGTATATAGTAATAATAACGATAATGACAATAATAATAACAACAACAACAACAACAATACCATTGCAGCGGTCCCCTCACTCCTCTCGTCGTCCGTGCCGCCGCCGCCGCCGCCGCCGCTATCTATTCGTAAATATAACGTCGCACGGGGCCGGTCGTTTCGTCGGCGCGATTATACGCGACGCCGCGCGCCACGTAACGCGTCCGCGCTCGTTCGCGACGGGTTTTCGCGTAAAATCGATCCCGGCCGCGGGGCGTTTCGCGGTATTGTTCCGTCGCGGCGGTGCGTTGCCAGAAAAACGAACGAACCGTGCGAGAAACGTTTGCGTCGAACCGTATTTCGGACGGAAAACACATTATCCGAATGACATCGGGCGCGGACGTGTTTCGTTAGCGCACCGGTTCCGGTGCAAAACAAACCCGTAACACAGGCGCTCACGCTGTTATCTCGTATCGTCTATACACACCGCGACTGTTGCAACTCGCACGTCATCTGCGAAACCGCTGAACGTCGGTTTCTCTGCTACGGTACACGGTTACGATGATATACACTTGGACGCATCTGGTCCGTAGCCCGCATTGCTCAACGCCGCCCAATGTTAATCAATTACATCGGCCCGTCAACTCATCGGTATCATCCGCGAACACGATATTGTCTACCAACGACGTTACCGCGACCGTAGATACGAACACAGCCTGTAGCCGTCGCTTGCCTGTTCAACAGCGCGCTCTGTTCGTATTTAATACGACGGATTTGCAAACTGAACACGTTTGTAATCAATTGTTTCCCGACAAATTTATTTACGGATTTCCGGTAGAATATTTCCCTAGCGTTTTATTTCCGTACAAATTATCTGTCGACTAAAACACGTTAATATTTCTCTGCTCGAATAATTCTCGTACACGCGTTTTCTATCGAATTATTTTCAAACAAAATGTGGGTCGCCTAATTATATACCACGCAGAGCCGGCATAACACTCGCGTATTGTGCATAGCTATAATAAATTATCAATGCGTACGGTATTCGCAACATATTTTCAATGCGGGCGTACTGAATTCTTCTCGTATTATTGGATGAACGTTTACTATATACAATACATATGTACACAATCGGCTGTTGACTTTAGAACAGTCACCTATTCTACCGGTCCATATTATGCCGGACTAAAATCCGACCAAACGATAAAACTGTATTAAAAAAAAAAAAAAAACCAATTGAAAACCATAAAAACAAGAAAATTAACGCGCGGTATGAATATGTAAAAACAGCGTCATTCAATTACGATAAAGATTAGGCGGGGCTATAGTATTAGTGTATAGTATTTGTTCAAAACTACTTTTTAAAACTATTTTAATACAAATGTGAATTCTTGAATATTATTATTTATTTGAAAATATTTATTGTAAATTTATCGACAATTATTGTAACAGTTGATTGGTAATATTAAAACTCGCATTGTACGTATTTATTTAAACGCTAAGAACAATAATACAAATTTACTATTATGTTAAATTGCAGACCATCGTGTAAACGTTGTTTTAGTAAAAATCTATATTTATTTAGTATTATCAAAGAAGAAAAAAAAGTCACATAAAATTACTTATGAATTACTTAACTCGTTTATTTATTCATAAGTTGTATAAAAATAACATATACCTACAATAACCCCCGGACCTCGGACCGCTGAATATAGTCCGCGATTGCGGACGGGGCTCTCGGTTGGTCGCGGTATTTATTAGTTGATTACCTTTTTTCCGTTTTACCGAACTCATTATCATTGAAAAATTCCAAATAATGCGAACGATGGATGAAAAACTATCGTGAAGTTTAAAATCGCAAGAAAAAAATAAGGCTGTAATAATGTTGTATAATTAATATAATAATAATTAATACTGTATTACATTTCGTACATTTTCCAGTTTTTTCCAGTTTTTCCCCCCATTTGTTGGGAAAATCAAAAAAAGACCTCTCTTAAATACCACCCCTAGTCCGATTTACTCTCGGAAAATATTCTATCATTGTAAATCGGAGCAAAAATTGCTGGTAAAAATGTTGTTTATAGAAAAAAGAAATACACTGAACTAACAATACATACTATATTATTAAAATTTAATTTTATAAGAACAATATAATTTCTAAAACACACATGGATATAGTTAACAAGTTTGAATCTAATTTATTATTCACAGCAGTGAGGACACCACCTCCTTCAAAGAGACTACTGGTATTAACGTTTCGATCATAGACATCGTAATTATTAAAACTAAATTTAGAAGATCTAATATTTTTCGAAAGCCATGTTTCAGTGAACACGTAAACATTAAAATAAGAACGGGAATTTTGCGCATTTGAAGAATTTAATTTTGTATTTAAACCGCGAGCAATCTGGTAATAAATATCGAGTGTAAATGATGGTAGTCGCTTTAAAAGTTTTTTGAAGGCACAATAGTTGGAATACCTTTTAAATATTAAATAGTTATATACTTTCACCATTGTCTCTTCGATTAGAGAGTTCTTCGCGTAGATTGGATACGACTTTCCGTTGTTTAGGTGTACGATCAAAAGAAATACGTATATCAATCCATTTGGGTGTTCCGCGTAAGATTTATTCCAGTGCGTAGAATTAAAAAAGTGCCACTGGCTTAGGAAGAGTAATTTTTAGTGCGTGACAGCGGTTAGGTAACAGTTTACGTAAACGGTGACTTTTGATTATTTGAAGATTTACATCAATATCATTAAATTAATTATTTAATTGTGCTGTATCTGAGAGATTGACAGAGTCGTCGGAATTAAGTTCTAGTAAATTAAAAATAATTTTATTTTTATTGACGATCATTAAATTAATTTAATAGTTCAAGTTCTAAAGCTGGAGAATGAGTTTTTGTTTAAACAACATTTTATCTTGCTCAAATAAATCTAAACGAATTTTTAATCGACTGTTTTCAATTTCTAAATTAGTTTCAAAAATGTTAAGTTTTTTATTACATTTCTCGAATTTCTCACTAAATGATTTTAGCGTTTTACCATGATCTTTGACTGTATATGTGTATATATATATGACGAATTTCGTGAAAAATAAAAAATTCAAGATAAATGAAAAACTCTGAAAAAATTGTCATTTTTTGATTGGACAAGATTTATGGTTGAAAGTTATTTACAGACAGAAAAAAATAAATACAAATTGCAACCCACGATAAAGCCAATACATTCCAGTAGTTGCCGTTTTAGTTTCTAGAAAATTGGCGTGAAAACAATTATTTTTCAATAGAATAACGATAAGGAATCACAATTAGTACGATAATTTGTTATCTTTTTTTTAAAATATCAATTTTTTTCACCTATTTTCTACCAATTGGAGCTACTATAATTATTGAGAAACTATTCATTGAAAATGAATAATATTGATATGTAATAATATGTATGATACATTCAAATTTTTAGACAAATACATTTTACAAAATGGCTATTTTGAAATTTTTAACGTGATAAAATAAACAAAAAAAAATGTTCAGTGATTTAAAATATGAATCAATTGTGAAACATATTTTATCCAACACGCGAATGACACAGAACCGAATTTAGACATGTTCTATTTCCAATATATTGATTGAGACAATATTATGGAAACAAAATGTTACAAATAGTACGAATTTCTGGATATTCACTGATGATTATACCCAGTAAAACTTCCATATAACGGTCACAGAAAAAGGCCGGAAATAATGGCCGCTATTTAGAGGTGACCGTCGTATGGAGGCATAACACTTGACGGGATCAAAAACAATTACAGTTACACAGAGGGGACCGTTAGCGAAAGTTTTACCGTACTACAATCTGATCAGTATTAATTAGCGTAACATATTTTTTTTAAATTCACGATTTTGGTATTTCTTTTTTTCAAATAGATTTTCCTTGAAATATTTGTAATAAAATGGTATGTATATTATTTTAAAAACTCTTGCCTACCATTGACTAAGTGTACCATATTATATTTTTAATTATTAAGTAATTTAACATTTAAAACAATAATTTATGTTGTAAAGTCGCAAATTTAAATACAGTTGCATATTAGTTAATAGTTGGTGAGCGCACGATTTTTATATATATTCCGCTAGTTATAAATGGCAAAAGAGCCTAGTGGTTCTCAAGATTGAAAAATTGCCATTAAGGCGTTAGATAGGCATTAAAAAATCACGAATGCACGATAAGAAGACAAATTAAAGACAGCAGTAACTTAAAGTCGGTAAAAACGTCCTGATTTGGAAGTAATTTAAAAATACTTACAAATCCGTCGCCACTCTCTAACCTGGACTAAAATGTTGGACAAGAAAAGCAGATTCTAGATCTATACTCAAATGGCGGTTAGTCGGCTCGCGAAAACTGCAGCGGATTAGGGTAGACGGACGATATTCAGATTTAAACTCGAAAAAAAATAAAAACGTCTTATTTTGGAAGTAATTTAAAAATACAAGTCCGCTGCTACCTACTAACCTAGACTTAAATGTTGGGAAAGAAAATCAGATACTAGATCCGCACTTTAATTGCGGTTATAATACTTATACTTTAATAGTCGGTGCGCGAAAATGGCAGGGGATTAGAATAGACGTATACGGGCGGTATTCGGACGTGTGAAACGTGAAATTGAATTGTTGTAATACAGACTCTAGCCTAGTATGATTTTAATTATTTAATGCCATAGGAATTGTACATATTTATTAAAAATGTTTACGTATTTAATGCGTTAAGCACAATCGAAGCCCGATTTCCCCATTATTCTGGTGGTAAGAGCCACTTGCAAAAAAAATTCTGTTAACAACTAGAATACGATAACCTATTGGTTAGGGACGTTAGGGTATCATTAGAAATGTAAATTGAATTATATGTACGAATTGTCTTATACCGTGCAAAACAGCTTGTAGAAAATAACATAATAGGTACGGCTCGTATAAAATAATAAAATTAGAATTAGAATTCGTAACTATCACTATTGGATAGAATTAATGTAAATATATGTAAACACAGAAGTATGAACTGCGGGAAGAATAATGTAAACATTGTAAGGTTCGGTTTGCGCGCGTTTCGCCGCGGGCCTTGTGTTCAGGCCGAAAATACAGTGTTTAGTTGTGGTTCTAACCGTATTTGGAATATAAAGATTGTTTGGGTCGCCAGCCCGTCTATGTGGTAGAGAGGATTTTATAACGAATACGAAAACAGAACGCGAGTACAAGTATAAAATGGTTTTTTTTTTTTGATTTATTATTGTTAAAACACTGGAGAAATGGCTGAACAATAATACCCTCGGGGAGAAAAATAACTCTTTGTTATTATAGTGGTATTCATCGTTGATAATAACAAAACGGCCGAAAGAGTAGTGGCCGTCGTGCCGGTATTGTAGTAAGTGGGATTGTGGTGCGCCGCCGAATCGCCCTCAAGACGTTCCGCGTGGACACGAGATATGTACGCGGACAATTAATGATTACGACAAGATGCGCAGGCAGGCACTCGGGGCGTCGTTCGCGCCGGATAAAATCACACCTTTGAACGGCACCACCGCAATCACGTTCGCGTGCGTCTGCACCGCGGGGGTTTCACGGGCGCGACCGGGTTGGTGTTCACGGGGCTCCGGTTGTACGGGATTTGAACGGGAATTCAATCATTTCCGGGCACCGGGTACAAATATTGAGTAGGCAAAAATGTATTTCCGCCATATACGTGTGAACGCGCGTGCCGCACATTGGCCGTGCTCGATAACGTACACGGGCCGCGTTTATTCGCGACCAACGGTGATTTATTATCGACCGCCGTTGATTCCGACCGTCCGCAACACACGACGCCCGGGCGCGTGCGAACGTTTCGAGGCCCCGGACCGGGGCTAAACTTCGCGCGGCAAGTCCCGAGCTCGTACGTTCGCAATACGCACACAATTGTACGGTTTGGCGCGCGTCGGTTCACGCAACTTTTAGGCGCGTCTTCGGCCCGTTACATTCGTTCGGTATTGCGATGATTGAAAAAAAACCGTACGGGCCCGCCCGCACACGAACTTGTATACAACAGAAATTCGCCGTCACACAGCAGACGTCCGTAACGTATTCGATTATGTTTTTAACGGGGTTATTCCCCGGACATTTATTTTCGTTTGTATCGTTTTTGTGTGTGTTTTTTTTCCGGCAAAAAAAAAAAAAATCGGTTTGTTGGTAATGAACGGTGTGAGGGTTGGTAATGAACGGTGTGAGGGCTTTTCGCACTGTCCGGGAACGGTAAACTCGCACAACGGGAACGGNTATTCGATTATGTTTTTAACGGGGTTATTACCCGGACATTCATTTCGTTTGTATCGTTTTTGTGTGTGTTTTTTTTCCGGCAAAAAAAAAAAAAAATCGGTTTGTCGGTAATGAACGGTGTGAGGGCTTTTCGCACTGTCCGGGAACGGTAAACTCGCACAATTCGGCACAATCGTTACAGGCACGAGCACAATAACGATTAATATAATAATTATATGACAGTATACAGTTTTCGGTTATACAAAATAAATCGTATACATCGTCATGCAATTGAAACACTGTCCGTCCGTCCGTCGGTCGGCTACGCAAACCGTGTGGTTTTGTTCCGATCTCGTGGAATATGTGTACACTTAAAAAAAAAAAAAAAAACAGGAATATCGCTGATCTCTAATACTTTTTGTCTCGAAATTCAACCGCTAAATGATGTCCGACCCGGGGTTTTTAATATTTTCGTGACGAAAATTGGATTTATTATTTTTTTTTTTTTTGTTGATTTTTTGACACCGGGTTACTTTGGCGAGCGACACGGACGAAAAACAGTTATTCTATTATTTCATTTGGCCGCTACGGACGCACCACTTGGGAGTACCCTTTTGAAAAGATAAATGACCGCGGGAAACAAAACGATTATAACTACGATTTACGGATGAGGTGAAAACGGCCGGGAGTCCCGTTAAATTGAATTTTTTTTATATTGATTTCTGTTTTTGAAGGGTTTGACAGCGGTAAATATCCAGATATATAGAAGTGTTGCGTCTTCGAAGTAACCGGCGGCATTTAATTAAGTACAACGCTCGACGAGAAGGTGTGAATGGATTTATCGTATGATTTTTAAAGTCAAATAATATGCGGAAGGTGCGTTATACATAGATACCTATACTCGTATTTTTTTTATTACTATTCGTTATAGTCGTACCGAATGGTTTTTTCATGGATAACACAACCAGTTATGAATAGCTTGACTGTTAACAAAATTATAATAATATAATTGCATATGTATTTACATTATTTATTTAATTTAACTTATTTTTCTTTGTATTGTTTACGCACAGCTTACAAGTTCCACTAAAGTGTCAAAAGGTTCTAAACATAATTATAGTAAGGTTTAATTTGAGAGGTTAATAAATAAATTTAACAGTTATATTATGTCCGTACACACACCAAAACGTATACAATGTTTAGATTATATACGATTGAGAGATGGGTATATATATTATATATTGCTATTCAATTTGAATGTATAGTAATAAAAAAAAAAACAATCTCTTCGGATTTCTCGTCATTGCACTGGTCCGAACAGTGTTGTAAATATCCGTGTCCGCAGCTGTAGCCTGTAGGTGTGCCTGATGCTAGCAAATCGATACTGTCATTTTGGTACAACTTTGCCCGTGCTAGTGTTTTTTCTTATAATTTTTTTACAGACTTTTGAATTACCGTTCTGTTCAAGATTACTTTAAAAGCCCAACACTTTTGTACGCCTCGTTTTCTTTATTTTGTGCCATTTTTTTTTTATGAATTTTGAGTATAGGAAAAATAAAAGAACGCTGGGTAAAAGTAAAGATCTTATACAATTTGAGTGTGTAATAATATTAGACGGGTATTTATATAATTAATGGTATTTTTGTACTAAGTATTTTAAAGTACTTCTGCGTACACGATATTTTTAGTTTTATTTTCTCGCGGTAAATTAATATACTAGTCATCCGAAAATATGTATTGTATTGTCTTGAATGGTTCAAGAAATGTTTTGAGGATGGATGTGAGCCCGATATCAGTTCTATTAAACTGATGTAATGATGTTGGTTCGGGAATATTAGGTATACCTACTCTTCCGCCACTACAACATGGCCCATGAGCATCAGCCTTTCATTTCTTTGCTTGGCATTGGTTGAATATTTTATCCATTCTACCAATATCAACATCATTTAGCACCGGATATTCAAGGTTACAGTTATAAGCAAAGCAGAATTCAATTTATCGTATTGCCTGCGACTTCTATTCATTGTTGATCGTCCATTTTATTAAGGTAATCGGTGGGAACGTTCAACGCTTAATTCCCTAGCACGGTTTTGTTCATTGATTATTCGTCGAGTAGCCAACCTATGCATATTTTCATCAGCTGTTTCATTGATGCGCAAAAGTCGCAGACGTTTTGCTGTAGCAGACTGTTGAGAAAGCTGAGTTATTTTTATAGGCATTTTATTTATGCATTTTATTGTATGATGTATATGATAGGTAAATTATTTTTTTTATTGAAATATATTAGGCCAAAAATGGCGAAAAAGATAAAACCAACTTAATTATTTGGTTACTTAAAACTTTGCTTTGAACGTCGGAAATCAATTAAACTAACCGTATAATTAAGAATAAAAAACCAACTCAAAGTCTTAGTAGAAATGTTTGCAGTTTTATTACATAATATGGCACATATTTCTTTATAATTATTTTTACGGGTAAGAAATATATCATACACAAATATTAGCCCCAAAGGCCATAGGTAATACGACCCTGGCTATTTGGAGAATTCAGATCCAGATCCAGATCAGCCATTACACACCTTCACTCAAATAGTTATAAATGTTCTAAGTCAACGCTGGAGTTGATCAAAGTAAAAATACTCCGCCCTCTGCGTCCAACCTATACGAGGATCATCAACATTTTTCAGACGCTTTTTCTCCTGATCATATAGGTTTGCTTGAGTCAGAAAATACATTTTTTTTTTCAATTTTTAAAATTTAACAACTTCAGAACGATTGGGTTTGGCTTGAATTCAGATGTGTCCTACCGACAACCACGATTGTTACATATTAATACCTGCACTCTGCAAGTATTAATAATTAAAAATAATAAAATATTGGTATGTACCCAATAAATAGAGCGCTACCTAATTTTAATGTAAATACATAATTTTATTAAATGCAGTACTTTTAATTCTGATTAATAATAAACACGTTTAATAACATCCTTAATAAAATAAGTCTTTGTTTACACATTTTCAAATGTTTTGATGTAAATAAACGATTTTAAATATTTCACCAAAAAGCAAATATTTCGTACATTTATATGTAAATATATATTAAGATACCTATTAAATTTATCAAATGGATTGATAATTATTCTATTGGAAATTGTGAATTGTGTCCTGGAGTAAGAATAAATAACAAATTTAATGACGTATTCGCTAATTAATATGTTAGCTTATAAATCATAAAATGCTACTCGAAATATTCTTTTAAACAAAAATGAAAACACGTTAATGAAAATTTAATTTACACCATCTGATATGTCAAGTATATAATATGCCCCATTATCCACGGTCGACATTAAACGCTCCTTCAGCAGTTACAAATCAATTTTTAAACCTAACCGTTCTTTTAAATTCGAAAAATCTTTAACTATATGTTTGTTCCCAAGAAGACAACGATGCAGACAAATAAATAAAATAAAAATAATTTGTGTAATAAACGTGTATCTACAGTAACTTGTTTCATATGATTACAATTAAAAATAACTTAACACACAAATTTGTATATTATTTATTACATATTTCGACAAAAATAACATAAATATTTAATGTTTTGAATTTTTTCATTATAAAAAAAAATCCGTACTCTAATACATATTACACATAGGCTTCAAAAATAAAATATAATAATCTTGAAACTTTATTTTCATAAATTTGTCTATTTTCCTATACCTTTTTTTCCAAATTATTATCGGTGATTCACTAATTTTAAGAGTGGCTAAATTCTCGCGATTTAATGCGAAGATACTTGCACCGGTTTTGATAAAATCTGATAAAGTGGGTGGGCCAACTTCATAAAAAATTCCATTCAAATTCATTCAGCCGTATTGGCGTGAAAGCCTTTATGCTCTGGTGAACCGAGTGCTAATATTATAATATTAGGTAACAATGCTTGAAATATTTGAATTCTTTTTTCATACATATTATTATTTCAAATGTTGTTAAAAAAATTATTAGAATTTATAGCCTTATGTTGGATTTTAGATTCTGAGTGGAGTGAAGAAGTTTATAGTTTTACAAAGATGTTATTTTTTTTTATCTGTGCGCAACTTTTATACCAGAAGACTTGTTCAGATTTTTACGTGTTGCACCTTTCCTGAAAAGAAATCGGCGTGGAGAAGTACTTTAAGAAGGTCATTTTTGATTTTCTGAAGTTTTCTTATCAAATTTAAAAAAAAAACAGGAAAATATAAAAAATGTAGTTAAAATATATTATGGCCTTCTTTTTTTCTGTGCACAACTTTTTACCAGTAATTTTGCTCAAACTCTTAATGATAGCAGTGTTTCTAAAAAGAAATTTCACTAGCGGTGTACTTTAGAAATGTCATTTTTTGATTTTCCTCAGTTTTCTTAGCAAATGTGAAAACAGGGGAAACTTGGGAAAATCTGTACAAAATTAAACAAATATCATTAAAGAAAATATATAAAACCTATTTAATTATTTTTTATTATAAAATAATATATATATAGTTGACAAAGCATCACTATAAACTGAACTCCGCTCAGAATCGTTTTTCGTAACCAATGATTTATTGTTGTTTATAGGTATGTATTAAATTATCTATTACAGTGGCTGTACCCTTCCCCATTATCCTAGAACGTCCTTTTTAGTCTAATTTTAAACCAGTTTTTCACTGTGTTTTCATAAATTAATTAAAATGTATCACTGTAGGTATTTAATATTTACTTTTATTATTATTATTGCCCATCTTTTTATGCATAATTAATTTATATAAATATTGTATTGTACAATGAATGCATATAATTATTGAAATGTTAAAATATGTTTAAAACAATGTATAATTATTGTAATACATTGCCAATATATTTATAATTTATCTAGTTTGAAAAAAAAAAAAAGAAATTAGTTAGAGTTTAACATAATTGTATCGAGTTCAGAATTAAATAAATTGGTATGTATAAATTGATCTTAATGGATTTTTGGCTTAAGCAAGTTACCAGCAACAGATTTTCAGTTTTGTGAAGTATTTTCATTGGTTTGTATAATAAATTACTTTATTGGGCTTTTTGTTTTTAATTGTACATACTCTATACATTTATTTTATTTGGTGTTTAGGTCTTGGAAATATTCCCTGGAATATAAGGCATTTTTAATTGGTATAACTACACTAGCAACATATAATATATGGCTATCACAGCTGAAATTTTAATATTAACATTATGGATTAAGAAATACAGGACTGGAATCCAGCACTGTCAAAAAAAAAAAAAACCATAACGCAGGGTATGTAGGGATCTTTCCTTTATGAGATATAAGTCCATTTTATAGAACTAGACATTTCATAACCTTGATTTAAAATGTAATTAAATATCTTAAGTTTATATTAATATTCTATTTTTTTTCTGACAGGTGTATGACAATATTAAAACGATCTTAATATTAGTGAGGAAGTAAACTAAAACCTTATATGAATATATTCCTTTTATTTTTAAACAATTTTTAGTTAAAATGATTCAGTTAAAAAAAAAAAAAAAAAAACAAATTTAAGCATTTTCATATAAGTACATGGTGATATTAGATAATATAACAATTTGTTAAAATGTGTTTTACATTTATACTGCACATACATACAGATGTCTAGAATGATTGTGTTCGTTATAAATAAATACAAATTTTACAATTTTCTAGACATTGTATATACAATGAACATACATTAGATATTTTGCATATTGTCATATTTTGCAAGTTTTTAATATTAATCTTATAAAATTATATAAATGCTCTGTTATAAATAAATAATATTACAAAATAAATTATATTTTATATTATGTAGCTATATAATAAAGCTATTATTATGTATAACTTAATAATATTACAGTCGTATAAATGTTTTTCGATTGAACACGGTTGATACTCCTGGTACAATATTTGAAAATAATAATAATAATTAATCAATCATCTGTTTATAAAAAAAAAAAAAACTAAGGCAACAAAAAGGGCTTATTAACATCATGATTAGTAACATTAAAATTGTGCTCTTCATACATTAATTTTATTTATAGGACTATAATTAAGTATTAAATATTATATTAAATCATAAACTTAAAAAAAATAATAATAATAATAAAAAAAAAAAAAACAGAAATCTGTTATCCAGAGATAAATCTTAATTCGGAATTGTATTAACTAGATGCTTTTTTCGAACAGAAAGTAAAAAAGACAGGATGTATTAAAATGACAAAACACATTGAAAATTAATGATGATGTAAATAAGTTGTACAAGTAGTGATATTGTATTTGAATGATAAATAGAATTACATAAACAAAACGAATAACAAGGAACTTTTTTATGAGACACCATATAACCCAGTTGGAATGCAACATATTTAGTGTTTATAGATAAAACAAAAGAGAATGCTGTTGCTTAATTTCTAATTTGAAAAAAATAAGTTCTTAAAACTGTAACATTCTGTTTTATGGGATCTAAAAAATGAATTAATGTCATACAAATATTTAGTTGAATTGAAGTGAAAATTTGTGTATAGCAGAGAGGAGGAACAAATTAAAATTTAAAACAATTTTTCATTCTCAACTAGGAAGTACACAGTAAATTCAAATTAATAAAAAATGTAAAAACAATGTTTCAGTCATTAATTCATGTCATTAATGATTTATGATAAAATTACTATCATTAAAATAATAATTAAAAAAAAAAAAAAAAAACAATGTATTACAATAATCTTTTGAACAGGAAAAATTAATTAAAAAAATAAAAATAAAAACATAATAATAAAACTCATGAAAAATAAACAAAATGTACAAATGAAATGTCTGAGAAAATAATAGTTAATCAATTATTTTATACAATTATAATTTGATAAACAAAATATTTTTATACTATTAATTTTAATAGTAAATCTAAAACAGTAATTGAATAATTTAAGAGCCATAATACTTTACATCATTCAAGTAAAAAGCTTAAAAAAATACAGTCCTATCTTATATTCGTACAGAAATCAGTCAAATAGAATCAATTTAAAATAATTATATTGTAATATAATGGTATTTTTAATTATATAAAAAAAAAAATAAAAAAATTGCAAATAAAACATTGCAGTTTTATAATAAAAATAATATAATCTTTTATTAAAAATAATAGAATTATTTCATATATTTTTTAAATGTTATTATTTACTTGATGTTTTTTTTTATTAAAAAAATATTCATATACTTATGATGTAATTCAAAATCTTTATGGGAATAAATTTTATACTGGTATTATAAAATAATCGTTTAAGGGTGTGTAAGTATAGTAATATTATTAAGTTCAAATAGGTACATTTTGTACCTATTATAGATTTTAAATAATAAAAGACTTTGAGGTGAAGAAAAACTAAATTCCTTATTGTTTAATCAATTAACAGATATTTACCAAAATATTAAATATGTATATTATAATTTGATATATCATTTAAAATTGATTAAAATGAACATATTTTGGCTGAAAATACTTTTCATTAGAAACCATTTATAATACTCATTATTAACACTATTAAAAGAAAAAATAATTGAAAATTGATAAATAAATTTATTAAATACATAAACGGGTTTGATAGTGGGTATGTAATTTGATTGTTACATAATTAATTTAAGGTTATTTGTACTGATTTTTCTAATTGATATTAAAAAATAAATGTTTTTTTTTTTTTTTAAAACAGTTCTAAAAAACTGTTTGCTATGTTTCACTAACCTCTTACACAATAGATCAGGTATATGAGAATAGTAATGCAATCAATCATAATGATGCATGATTTAAGCACAGATTCAATATAGTATATATGTGTGTGTGTGTGTGTGTATGTATGTGTGTGTGTTTGTGTCAGTGTATTATTTAAAAGATGTTCAAAATTTAAAAAACTGCAGTTCTTTTTACATTGTTGACACAATGTTCATTGAGTCCAGGTAATAAGGATACAAGAGTACGGTCCAACCATGCTATTGGATTTGGATACATAAATCCACCTTCAAAGAATCCAAGATGGCCACCATGCATCAGTTCCATGTACAAGATATTATCTTTTGATTCTAAAACATAAATAATAAATAAATAGGCTAATAATTATAATACTATGTATTATAAAATATTAATTGTTCAATTTATTTATTTAAATAAATTTATTACAACCATAATAAATATTACCCCATTTTTTACTACAATATTTTTTATTTACAGAGATAAAACACCATTTTATTTAACATAAATAGGTATAACAATTTTATAGGTATAATAGTGTTTGGTTTCACAAATGTATAAATTAACACATAAAGATAATAACTAATAATAATGGTAATAAACAATAATAATATAATAATATGAAATAGGTATTAAAATTTAATTGGTTTTAAACTTAATTGAAATTGCTCCAGATTTTTTAAATTAAAAATACCAAACTTCAAGTCATTTCTCATGGACATTAAAAATATTAGCAGGAGGATAAATAATAATCCTTTTATTTTTATTTTGTACATGAATGAATGTATTGAATGTATATTTCATTCTATTATTAATTCCCTGTCAACTTTAAAAATGAATTTCATTCAAATATCAATGCAGTCGAAATTATTATTAGTAAGATTATATAAAAATATTAATTTTTCTTTAAATCTAATTTGTAACAGATGTAATAAATATGTATAGTAGGATGTCAATTATCTTTTTTTTCGGAACTAGGTATTTTTTTCTTTTTGGTAATTTATAAAATCAGATTTTTATGATTTATATGATATAATTACATGTTATAATTAATATAGAATTTTCATTAACCACTAATTTTCAATCAAATTAAAAAAAAATTATGTTCTACCTTAGCTGCCTAGTAACCTAACCATAGTTATAATTAAAATAAAATGCAAACTATATTATAATAATGTTGCTTATCAGAAACTTCTAATTATCTACATACATATTCTGTATACATGTGATTTAATCAGTGGAGTTTATACCCACAGTAAAAAATCTTAATTAGTTGGATTTATGTAAATATACACTATTTGGATATAACTGATAATTATATAGGTTTAGAAGTTAATAAATCATAAAACATAATATTTTTGTAACCAATTATAAAAATAATAAAATAGTTTATACATTTATGAGTAGAAAAAGATACAAAAATAAAGATATCAAAACCTATTATATTACAATATTCATTATTTCTTAAATTTCTAAAATGAATAAATCATTTTATATTACCATCAATATTGTACCTGAGTATATTCCAAGTGATTACATATATTCCAACTTATTTGAAACTTGTTTGACAAGTGTATTATTTTCAGCCATTGTAGAAGAAATGGAAATAGTTTTTTTTAAGTGAAAAGGCAAACAAATACTTTATGATCGATGTCAACCAATATTCATTTGAAAAATGATTATTAAATTTAATGATATTGACAGAATAAAGATGTGTCCATAAATCTGTTCAGTTATACAACCCAAGTAATTGGAACTTCACTAGTGTACTATCAGAATAAATCACTAGTCCACCCCTCTTGACCCAATTTGGATGCAGTCCATCGAACATTAACACATAATTGTTCAATGTATACAAATTATAAATAAAATAGATGAATCAAAAATAATGTAATCTTACTTGCAAAATTTTGAATAGGTATTAATAAGTCTTCTGGCACCAAGGGATCATCTCTAGAGTTTATAAAAATCATAGGTGTTTTTACATTGTTGATGTAATATAAACAACTTGACCATTGATAAAATTCGTGGAGATTTTTAAAATTATTGACTTTCCTGTAAAATTATATTTGTCATTAAAAGTGTAATTACTGGCTATTACAATGAAGTGGAAATTAAATAACAAAAACTGTATTTTCATACTTTTAATTTTGGTGTCATTGGTGTCTTTGTGATAGCTTTATCACAAAGTAAAAAAGTTTTTACAAAAGTTGTATAAGTTCCTAATTAGATTTATATTTCATATTTCATGCTGTGTGTATTTTGGATTTCGAGTGTATGGAAGGATCTATTGGTTTTACTGTTTTTTATTTTTATTTTTCTGTTTGTGAACAACTTTTCTAACAGAAAATATCTTCCAAATTATAGATTATAGCGCTTTTTCTGAAAGGTAATTTTCTCTAGTTGGTTTATAGGGGAGGTCATTTTTTTGATTTTGCTAAGAAGTTTTTGAAACAATTGGGAAAAAATCAAAATAAAATTAAAGGTATACTAGCAATTTGGTCTGCAAATGGTCTGTTATGGATTTTGTTTCTTTTAACACATAGCCACTGACAAAAAAAAGTCGTTTTTCTATGTCCAGTAAAGTAAAGAAATGTAAAATAAAAATTAACTAAGTATACAATTTTTTTTCAAATTACGACATATCGATTTCATTATTTTAAATTTGTACAGTTTATTTTTTCATCATAAATATTACTTTAATATATAAATGACAAAGAAACCTTTTTTGTTGCATTTTTGATCTAGTTTATAACCAAGTTATTCTTTTTTTGATTTTCTCTGTAATTTTATTAATAATTGAGCACAATCAAAAAGAAATGCAGAAAGTACAATAAAATGTAAGAAAATAATTCTTTTATTATTTTTAATTTTGCTTTAACGTTCCAATTCAGGTTCAAATATTCTTAGAGACTTGAAATGTTAACAAAAAACTTATATTTAAATGTTCTAAACTTTTGTTTAAAAATGTACATAATATTTAACCATTTTAATTTTACAAGTTAGTAATTTTTTTTTTTATTTGTTAGGTACTTTGTAGATGAATTGTTAAACTTAACAGAAATACTAGAAAATTTGACAGGTTCAATAAAGTTGTACTTGGTAATCAAAAAAAAAATTCAATGTAGTATTTTTTTTTTTTTTTTATAAGAGTTAAAATCAAACTAATAAAAATTGTAAATATAATAATTTGGTCTTTCAAAAAATGTATAACCAAACTTCGCTCCAAATCGGTTTTTATTGTCAATGGTTTATCCTTGGTTACAGGTATAAATTAAATAACCTTATGTAATCCTTTCCTACTTTACCCACAATACGAATAGAATCCATGTTAAGGCTTAAGTGGCTTATTCAATTCCGCCATCATCACCTGTTGAATGTCTTTCAAACTATCAAAAGATTAAATTAGGTCCCTTTATCTGTTCCATCAACTTTAGAAATAGTCATAAGTTCAATGAAGCCTGATTATGGCTGTACAAGAAGTGGGAGAGCATTTTTGATATTTATTTTAGTTAAACTGTTTTATTGAAATTGCTGTGTGATCAGGTGAATTTTCATGATAGAGAATCCAACCATTGTCTTTTGCTTTAGTGTTTAAATCTAGAAAACTACAATCACAATTTGTATGCACCAACAAACTCAAACTTCAATTAATACCTATACCGTTTCAAAAAAGATTACTTAACCCATCAGGTTAAGAAACATTTTCTCTTTTGAAATTGGGTATTGTGGTTGTGGTTAATGGTCTACCTGTCAATTGTATTTTGCAATATTGTATATGTATAAATATTATACATGTTACAGTAAATGTTTTAAAATCAGTTAATGTTGTTATATTAATATATTAACCTATTTTGTGCTGTTAATTTTAATATTATAATATATTGGCCTGTTATCAAACTTAAAGATAAGAATATTGTTTGTTTATATGATGGTTTTTTCGATATTTAAAATTTTTAAAATAAACTAATATACTAACATAGACAATGTTCTTATCTTTAGGTTTAATAATAGACAAATACACTCTTAAATTGGTTTTTATGTATAAATATAACAAAATTAACCTATTTTACAACATTTACTTGTGTATAGACTGTCCCAGGAAGATATACCCCTTGAATATCTCTGGAGATAATAAAAATAATCAAATTCTATTTTATTTATTTATTGGATTAGTAGAATTTGAAACAAATATTACTTAGAAATTATTCATCAGATATAAATGTGAGATAGATTAAAATTTTCAGAAAAATAAATTTTACAAAATGGCCATCTAAAATTTTTCCAAAAATAATAGGTTAATTTAAAAAATTTTTTTTAAAAAAAATAATAGATTATCTTTATTATTTCTGGAGATATTCAAAGAGTGTATCTTCTTTAGCAGTCTATTTGTATCATCCATTGCTAAGAAACATGATAAAAATTTGTTGCTCTCTATTAACTTCATGACACTGGCAAATAAAAAATAAAAAGCTGATACTGGGCATGGGAGCTGCCATTGTTGCAGGCCAGTAGTGGGATACATAAGGTTATTTAATTTATACATGTCACCAAGGATAAATCATTGATAACAAAAAATGATTCGAAGCAAAGTTCAGTTACACAAAGTAGTTATCTAAATGTTGCCTAAAATACTATCAACTCTAATACCGTTTGGATAGAATATATGTCAGCTAAATATTCTGGGCTATGTATTGACTTAAATACAGTTAAGATAAAATAAATTTCCTGTTTGGCTGAAATACTTTCAGTTTTTTAAGTGCTCCCGAATAAGTGCATCATCAGACATAAGAATAGTATTTTGAGGTTATGGGTGCTTAAGTTATACAGGATGTTCAGAAAAGAATAACCAACTCTATGGAGTGTTACTCTATATATGAATAAAAGAATGTTTTTTGGAATTTTTTTCAAATGTCAAAACTTTAGTTTTTTGGGTTTTATTTGTAAAACATGAATACAAAATAAAAATAAACCACACCAGTGAATTTTTTGAAAAATTCTCTTACATTATTAAGGGGTCACTCAATATTTTCCAAAAATAACCATTATTACTGTTATTTTTGTCTTATAATGTCTAAAATCGTAATTTTGGTATGACATATGAATTTTTATACATACTTATCAATGATTTCTATGAGATAAATTAATTTGTATGTACTCATTTAAAAGACATAACAGAAAAATAAGATTATTTTGAATATAAAAAAAATAATAAATACTCAAATTCAGTTTGTTTTATTGGACTTTATTAATATAACATTTATGAAAAGTTCTGGAATTTGCATTATTTTTTCGGTTACATTAGTTATTGAATTATTAAGCTGCTTCCTACTTACTTCTTGATTATAAATAATTTGGAGATTATTCCATCAATGACTTCTTAAATATAATAAAGTTTTCAGAAGTCATATAGAACAGTTACTCAAATAATTTGTTTATAGCTAATAATAAAATTCAATAAAAACAACTGAATTTGGGTATTTATTAATGTATTTTTTATAATCTAATTAATTTTATTTATCTAAAGAAATCTGATGATTAAATTAGTATTAAGATAAAATATAATTGCTTGTATTGAAATCTCTGTCAAATTTATACACAAATCCATGTGTCACACCAAAATTATGGTAATGATTATTTTTGGAAAAAATCAATTGTCCTCTTATTATGTATGAATAGTTTATAAATAAAATTGGTAAAACCAATGTTTTAATACTAAAATAAAATCCCTGAAACTGTTCTTATAGCCACGTACAGAGTAACACCCGCAGAGGGAGCTATTCTTTTCTGGGATATGCTGTATAAAAATATAAAATGACAAATTCTCATTAATTAATTGCCACATTTTGTACTTCTATATGATGGAGTTAAAACAGTTTGAAATTAACTTGATTTGAAACTACAACCTATTGTTAACATGTAAACTCTTTAAAAAAGTATGTTACCATCAAAATGATTTCAAAAATAAATAAATACAAATAAATAAAAACTATTTTAAAATATGGTTTATCAAATTAACATAGAAACTTCTTTATGAAATCATTTTATTAATAAGGTGTATTATTGACCGATTATTATTATAAATCATTTTAAAAGTCATGACTGGATGGATTTCTTTTTTTTTAAAATTCCATCAAATACTTACTCTAGAGTTAAATAATAAAGAATATTTGATTCAATTTTAATAAGATAAAAAAAATTATATAGGTATACATTAAATCAATTCACAAAATGCTAAATATATGTGGACCATAAACATATTATTTGAATGGATACCTATTCAATTAATTAGGTTTAATCAATTAATTTCAAACAGGTTTTAGGCCATCATATAAACATAGTATGCAACTATTAATACAAATAATATGAATGCATTTAATAGTAATAAAATATTTAACCTAGTATAAGCGTCATCCAGTTCAGGTAATGTAGCAGCAGATATAATATCTTTTTCATTTAAAGAATATTGTTCTTTAATATCTTCCGCCAAAAGTTTACTTCTATGTTTCAAAATTAAAGCTTTGATTGCCTCTGTTAATGCATACAAATAAAGTCGCCGGAAATTTTGCCAATGTAATAAAACACCAGTGGCCCTAAAAAAAACCACATAATTAATTTTATCATATATAATAAATTTTAGAAATGTTTGTTTTCCATCTAATTTTCAGTGAAAAAAAAGAAAAAAAAATATTCAACAAACCAAAAGTTGCTTTTTATTTCAATCATTCAAATTGAAAATATATGTGTTTAAGTAAATTTGAATACATTTTTTAGTGCATTAGTAAAATATCTCAAATTGAAATTATCAAAATTTTCCTAGTTGAGATTAAATTATTATTAAACATAATCCTCAATAAAAATAGATTGGATTATTAGTAAATGATACATACTTTAAAGCATCATATGGTTGACATATGGATATTCCAGCAATAATACTATTTGGTCGATTTTGACGTGGTTCTCCAAGGTATTTAGTAACTAAGTTACCACCCATGCTATATCCAATTATTATAATTTTATTATTTGGATTATGTTCTGATAAATTGCAAAGCATTACATGAAGATCATCTGTGTGGCCTGTGAATTAATAATAATTAAATTACTTGAAATTTGTAAAATTATTTTAAACATAGTACACAATAATCTTTAAAAGCCATGCCCATTTCTTCAAAAAGAATAATTTAAAATTATAGTATAGCATTTATTAGGCAATTTGTAAATTAACTACAACAGTAAAAAAAAATTATATAATAATAAATTTTAATAAATTAAAAATGAATAATAGATATTAAATAAATTATAGTAGCTAAGACAAAATATAATATGTTTTTAAATGTAAAGTTACTGACAGAGTTTTTTTATTAAGTTTAACTAAGTAGAAAACTGAATTTTTGTAATGTTTATAAATTAAATTTGACACTGAGCATAAGGAAAAATCTATTATAGGTTTCCATTTTTTCTCCTAAATTAGAAGGTTTCCCTCCTCGATGTTGTAAATATCTAGTTAAATTACCAAATTGTTTTATATATTTTTTTCTAATAATAATAAAACAAAAAAGTGTAAAATTTTTTTATTTTTGAAAAACAAGGCAGTATAAATGCTCATCCAGTTACTTTATGCAGAAATAAATAAACATATATATATTTTTTTTATGTTTAAACCTATACCCTGTAATAAAAACATTGAAAAAATAAATAAATATATACAAATAAAAAAAATTTCAACTTTGAGCTCTATTTAGAAGGTAAATGATTTATGATTATTTTCAGATGTAAAATAATAATAAAATACTGACTTGCTCCACGTAGCCCACCAAAATAGTGGCCTATCCAAGGTGCACAATATGTCTTCTTTTTTTTTTTTTTGTACATTGACTATAAAATTAAAACAAAATGTTTATGGAATAAATTGTCCTACACTTCAGTATTACCAGGAAGATTTGTTTTTTTAAGCAACAATTATACATATACATATAAATATATATATACACAAATAATGTATATATATATATATATATATACAGCTTTACAAATTTACCATTACAAATTGATGCTTTATTATAATAAATTTAGATTTAAACATAAAATTACTGTCTTAAGTAACATTTACCATTTTCTATGGTAAGAAAAAACAAATACAAATAAAAATTGTAATAAAAACTTTAATTCAATATTTTGTTAGGGCTCTTATCAATTTAAACATATGAGGATATCATACCCACAAGTACTGCATCTTATGACTATGCCATAGCAAATTGAGTTCAGTTGGGAAAATTATCCCAATACTAAACTTCAAGATAAGAACATTGTCTATGCAAAACCTATTTATTTTTTTTTAAATATTTTAATTCTTAAGCAAGACAATTTGAGTATGTAAAATATCATTATTTAAAAATTATTTTATATCTTATAAAAACTTATATCTTAGGTTTATAAGTCAATCATCTGAATATTAATAATAACAGTACAGGATGTTTCCCTCTAAACACAAATTTGCTGTTTATTGTATTTGCACATGTCCTTTTATGTGGACAATGTTATTTGTCATCTCTGTTTAATATCTATCTAATTAGGCAACATAACAAAAATGTGTTTTCGTATTTCAAATATCACTCAGAATTAAAAATAACTAAAATAAAATTGTTTGGTATACTGTGTTAGCTTGTTCACCTAGGACATCTAGCAGTTGTTCATCACCATTGACAGAAGCTACTATAGGTAGCTTATCAATTAAGACTCTTCCATTAAAATTAGAAAAAGTTATATGTCCCAGAGTATAATAATTGCCAATACAAATTCTAGAAGGAGCAAAACACGGGTTTGGATCATTTCCCCTATGGCTCAGTTGTTGTTGTAAGTCAACTGAGAAATGAATTAAAATATCACAGAATAACAAACGATTATCTATAATAACTTGATAAACTCGATAACATGTATGTCTAAAATGTAATAATGTACAATTCTGTAGATGATATATTATACTTTATTATAAATCATAATGTTCATGTAATAGTATCAAAATATGGGTAAAATACATATTTATTTGAACAATAGACAATAATGAAAATTTAAAAAAAAAAAGTTTTTTAATTTTTAATTTTATTTTTTTATTGTTATTCAGTTAAAAATGTCTATAGAGATTTAAAATTTAAACAAAAACTTATGCTTGTCTTTCCTAGATGTGGTAAAATTTTCAAAACATTTGAGCCTATTCTGAGTTATTTATACAATTTTAAATTTTTTGTTGAAATTTAGATAATATTTATATGGACTTTATGGACTTGTAATTTGGACACATAACTTACATTTGTTTTATCTAAACACAGTGAAATATTTTAATTTCATAATTTTTTATTTGATAAATATTCTAATACAATTTTTAATGATGGGTTAATCTTTTTTTTGTTTGCTATGGTTTATCCTTTGTTACAGGTTTAAATTATAAACTGTATTCCACCTTCCTAACTATTTACCTACAATAGTGGCTGCAACTGTCCCAAGTATCGGCTCTTTTAGATTCATAACAAACACACTTTTGCTATATTGTCTAAGAAAAACAGAGATGGTAAATTTTACTGTGATTACCTCTTAAATTTTCATTATGATGGGCCATATTTTATTTGAAAAATAATTTGCTGTAAATTATTTTTTCTAAAACATGTAATCAGAAAATTTTTTTTACCTGATGATGATAATCTGCAATAATAAGCAGCCACGAAAATTCTTATAATAATAAGGAATATTGGAGTAGAAATTATTTTCCAGCATTTTAGGTGCCTGGTTGATTATAATAAAATTTAGAAGCAATCATAATTTTAATTTAGGTTAGGCTTATATTTTATTATATATTTATATTTGGGTTATATTAAATATTTTTTTTTTTTTTTGTAGTAGTCAATTATGTATATCAAATATATTTTATGATAAATACTAGAAAAAGTTAAAATGTAGTTTAATATTTGCATTATTTTTATGAGGCATTAAAAAGTTAAGTTATATTAATATATCTTAGCTTACATTTAAAAATAAATAAATTATACATATAAAGTATAATTATTAGAAATTATTATAAAACAATGTTTAATTAGGTAGACGTAGACATAATTTCAATAAACTTTAGTAAAAAAACCTTAATGAAGTTGGAATAGTTCAGAAACAAATTAGCTAATACATTTTTGTACACATTAAAAATAAATAGTTCAGTAAATATAGTTTACCATATGTGAATATTCTAGAAGCAGTAACGGGTACATTATGCAAAGCGCCAACATGATTTAGAACTGCACATCGATAGCCTTGATTTTGAGTATAATTTACAAATGTTCGGATATAATCACTTTCTGAAGAGTTACAAATTCCAGGAACTATAACTACAGTAATGTCTTCTAAAAATAATTAACAAAACAATTTATACATCTATAATAATTATTATTAGGTACCTAATTAAATACATTATTTTAAAGAAGTTAATTAATCAACTTTAAATGTATACAATAATACAAACCTAGTCCTGGTTCAATGTATGTCGGTTTAAACAAATCATATGTAAGTGTAGTTCCATCTTCAAGCATTAAGAACCGTCTATCACCTTTGGGACATGGACATCTCACTCTACCAAATACACTATACAAAATAGTTTGAACATGACCACTAAATCCCCATAACCTGGTTGGCACATATCTGAAAAATATAATATTCATAAATTATGTGGTATTTAACAACAGACCTATGTTGGGACCATCAAATCCAAATTATTTAGGACCCAAATTTTAAAAAATAAACTAGTTAAACTATGAAATGAACAATATTATGTATTATAATATTATTACAATATTTAATGTCATAATTAAAATTAAATTTGAATGAGTTGTTACATAATAGTAGTCTGTTATACAAAAATGTATTCTATGAGGTACATAGAATACATTTTTGTACCTATCTATTTTTTTAATAGTATATACTCCTATTTCAAAATATAAAGATAATAATTAATGATAAATACAGTAGGATTTGGCAAGCCAGTATAATATTATATGAACAAATATATTAAAAACTTTACTCATTATAGATAGGTTGGAGTAGATAACCACGGTACCTATCTACTAAAAATTAACCTCTGAATTAACCTAGTACAAACTAAGTATGAAGAAATGTGTGCACGGTTAGGTTAGGTGATTTATTACCTAATGAACAAACATGTAGGTACTAAAATTAAAAACCAAACAATATTGGTGATGGTGAATTAAAGAAGTTCTTAATAATAGTAGGAAATAAGTTTCAGAAAGAAACACTTTGAAACCCATGTTTTTACGATACTAAAAAAGGGTGCATACATTGCACTCAATACGCAAAAAAAACATCTATTTTATATTTAAAGATAAAAATAGGAAATGTAATAGTGGTTTATATGTTTGTGCGATATTTTAGAACTTGTTTGGTATTGGGTATTTCAAATAAAGGTAATGCTCGCCAAGGTATATACAAAGAGATGAAAACCAACTGTAGTCAACTGGTACACTTTATGTCAAGACATAACAGTAGTTGAATTTCAAAATAGAAGGTCCTGGCATAATTGTGCAAATATATGAATCCTTGTTCCAAGATAAAAGACAATATAATCCTGGAAGATTAATGTCTTGGAAATTGCAAACTAGACAAAGATAGAAAATAGTTTGAATGGAGACAATATAGTAAATAATCAAAATTATGAATAAAGATTTCGAGGGCATATGTTGCAGACATGAGGGAGTTTCAGAATTTCAGAAAAACGTTTTTTTTTTAAAATTATTGTGATTTATACATTTTATTGTTTAGAGTTTACATATGTTGATATTATGATTATCTACTATAGTTATTATTCAGTTTTTAATATACACTTATTGATTGTCCAATGGCCCAATCCATCCCTGGACATAATGTGATAATATACATTTTGCGTTTTTATAATGAAAATATTTAACAATTACAAAAAAAAAAAAAAAAAGACACACACTTCACATGTAAGTGGGCCACTATTGTAGGTGAGAAGTTAGGAAGAAAGAGGGGAAATTTAAGCAACGATTAATCATTGCAAACGAAAAACGATTATGAGCAGAGTTCAGATGATAGTGTTACTTCATCAACAATATATATCTGTCATATTATAATAAAATAATTACATATGCATTATATATTTTCTTTAATAATATTTGTTTAATATTGTACCTATTTTCCAATTTTTCCCATGTTATTCTCTTTACCTCTTCCAATTATTTAATGACTTTCTTAGGTTTACTACAAGGTGCTGTTCTATCTCCACTTCTGTTTGCCTTATTCACTCAGCCACTTCTGTACTTCATCATGCTAAGCTCCTATTTTTGCTGATGATATGAAAATCTTCCTCAGCATCAAATCATTCTCAGACTGTTATCTTTTCCAACAACCTCCAATGTTTAGTGTTGTGGGGAGAATCTTTGGGATTCGTTTTCAATATCCTTAAATGTACTGTAATGACTTTTTGTCATACCAATATTTCAATCATGTTCACCTACTCAATCAACAATACACCCCTGAAAATGTTTGCTAACTCTGTAAAAGACTTGGGATTTACACTTCCTTAGAATTTATGTCCTAATATGTATATTCAGTAAATTCAGTTAACTTGCTGTAAGAACCTTAAACTGCTTGGTTTTACTAACAGAGTGTGAACTGATTTTTTTTGTTCCCATTTAGTTTGTCCCATTCTAGAATACGACACTGTTCTTAAGAGTACATCCACCGATTCAACTAGTAATACAATTGTATAGTTATAAATTATAATTTCTCTGTCACGCTGCCTGGAAATTAACATACTTTGACCACCTCATGACTAGTAATTGATTACACATTTGTCTTAAACCTTCTATTCCTAGAAAATCTTACTAATCATTGTCACTCAGCTAACTTATTATTATCTAATCTACTTTACTCCAAAATTGACAGCCCTAATTCTCTATCTCATATCTTTTTTAGGATACCATCTTGCTGTACACAGTCATCTGCTCCGTTCCATATCCCATTCTCCTCATCTAACTACTATCTCAACTCTCCGATCATTCTAAGTTTTATGTTTGTAAGACAGAAAAAGCACAAATGCGAGTACCACATCCTATTAAATGGTTAGGTCTAGAGAGCTTATAATAGGCTCTCTAATAAGGTTTAGTCGTCACAAATATATACCTATATAATGTACTAGTGGCATTCACTGATTATTTCCTCTACTTTAATAATATTTGTATATAATTATTTATATATATTTTAAATTGTTTAAATTAATTATTTAATAACGTTACGGCAATAAAAAAAAAAAAAAAATGAAATATTTACAATATTAAATATAAGAAATACTCATCTAAGTAAGCAAATCAGAAGTACCTACCTAAATACATTTTTTCATACAAATTGATTTTTAATAATTACCTATTAGTATCAAAACAATATGTAATTTACATTTAAATTATAAAACATCAGATCAAATACCTACATAACATGTACCTATGAAACTAGGTAGTTATTATTTTAATAAGTGGGTAGGACCTGTGTCAATGTTGGCCTTTAAAAATTATAGGTATCTAGAATGCGTCTCGTGACATAAATAAATATTATCAAGTAGTTTAGTAATAAAATATTGATTCACAACACCAGCTACCTCACTAATATTATAATATGATACGACAATTCTTTAAGTTCTATAGGTTATCTGCTCTGAATTATGTAATCACGAGTATATTAAAATTAATCGACCAAGCAAACACGAATTGAAATTGGACAATTTGTTGATAACGAGACTAGAACCGAAAGAACACTGTGTGTAGAGTGATCATCGGAAACAAACAAAAAAAAAAAAAAACTTTTTTTTTATGACACTTGTATTGAGAAAACAAATCACAATATTGCCATTAATGCGGTGAACAATAATATTATTGTGGTGCGTCGAGCGGTAGATTTAAAAACAAATAAAAAAAAAAACCGTACAACAACCCACACGTTTCTCAGTGAGGCCGACGCCATCCGCCGACTTGAAACGGACAGGTGGACGGTAAATACGGTGAACTAACATGACGTGTCGCGCATAATACTTACGGGTCTTCGAGTTGGGGCGCGTACTTGAGGATCCTGTTGAGGAACTGTTTGTCTTTGCAAAAGAACAGCGGCTTTTGCGGTTGGCTGGAAACGTTGAGCATGCGAAACACGATTATCAGAAAGACCGCGATGGCAGTCAAAACGGCCACAGACATGTTACGCGGGGGGGCCGCGTACTCGGCCAAACGCGGAGACGGCTACGGATCGGTGGCAACAGACGAGGGACCGACGGGCGCGGAAACCGCATGCGACGAGACGGCGAGACGACGGGACGGGACGGCCGAGCAACAAGGCGGCCGGGGTGTCGACGTCTTTTCCACGCGAGAACGTAACGCCAGATGAGACGCGACGGTCACGGGGCAAAGCGTAACGATCGACTGTGCGTCACGCCGTCGCGACAGAGACGATTGTCGTTCCGTGGCGGCGTCCGCGTAAGTGGGCGATGCCGCGCGCGCGGGAACGTCGGGAACGCTCGAACGTTGCGAAATGTGCACGGGACGACGTAGGCGTACGGTCGGCGTCCGCGGCGAAACAGCCAATGCGGCGTTCGCGGTTAACAAACGGAACGGTAGGGCGATCGTATTGTTCTACAATCGTCGATTAGCTTTAATTTATTAATAATAATAATAATAATAATAATGATAATAATAATAACAACGTTGTACGATGATACGGTGACGATATAGTCGGGTCGTCGTCGGGTAGGGGGCACCGGGACTGTTCGACGGCGGATGACGACGGCGGTGTAGAACGATAAGGCGTCTGCGGCCGCGGCGGCGTGCGGTGTTCAGGGAGGGGGTGGGGCGGAAGGGAGTGGCGGGAAGGGGGTAACCGTCGGCCGCCCGTTCGCCGTCGCGCGACGCGTTATCAATTATTTATAATGTGCGTTCGATAGTGATAATAACGGACGGCCGGCAATGCAGCGGTTACCTGCGGGTTATTGTGTGCGCCGTGCCGGCGACCGATAACGACGGAAACTGATGTTCTCCGTTACCGTCCACGTCGAGCGTCCGCGAACAGAGTACAAGAACGTTGCCGTGTTACGCCGCGCCCGGGTGATGTTATCGACGGGCAAACGCGGCGTTCACCGTTCACGCAGCATTGTGCCCGGACGGCGCGGACGTCCGCGCCACCGTTGACCGGGCCCGGTGACATCATTGTCGAACCGTTCGCCGTTCGGTCCTTCGGCCGCGCGTGCCGTTTCGGCGCGGCGCTTCAAGGTCGACGCGCGCTCTTGGGCCGCCGCGACACGACGGGACACGGGAAATGGGAACGGTGAAATTAACGGCGGCTGCCACGGCGACGGCGGCCGCAGCGGATAGATCGCGCCAACGCACCCTTCGCCGGACGACAACAGAGCCGGGTTTTCGTTCCTCGCCGCGCGCTATTTCGAACTTTATTTACTTTCCCCTTTCCCGCGCACCGACCCGCCGCTGTAATGTTACGTGGCGTTTTCGATACGTACGTCCGTTTTTTTTTTTTTTTTTATCGATTTCACATCTACTCCGTGCACGCGCATGGTACACAATTGGACACCCGTCGTACCCACAGTCGTTTTTTTTTTTTTTTTTCCTCAACACCCATGACTTAGAAGCACAAACGCAACGCGCGATGCGCACATAACATTAGCCTGTGATCGACGCCGTGTCGTACACTTATCTGAATATTATTACGGGTACGCCGTGCGTTCCGCGCGCCATAAACGATTAATATCGCGTCCAATTAGCAGAGCAACAGCCAGTAGTCGACCCACACAGTAAGCGATAACCGCGACGAGCGAGTGTGTTGGACCCGGATTAGGTCGAGTTCGTTAATCATTCCCGCATTAAGTTGATCGGCCCTGCACATAAATCAGGGGCGGCCCACGTCTTGTTTGCAATATCCAAAAATTTACTCGTAAAATCGTTAATTGCTATTATGAATTTTAATTTATTTTCATTGAGTACAACTGTAAAATACAGACGACGAAATAAAAAAAAAAACCGTAATAATTAAACAAATATGTACGAACAGCGAGCAAATCACAAAAACGCTAAATTTGTTCGGGCGGTATTTTGTTGCTATCTTGTCTATTTTTTTTTGCAGGCGCTTCTATTAACCAGCCGGTGACGGCATCGCCGTAAGAGTAGTTCTGATCAATTCTGTCATCAGTCGAATTTTTCGACTTAATTGTTTTCATTATTGAATTGAAGCGATTCGTATGAACGTGTCGTTTAAAAAATAACTATTCATTTTACGGCCCGTTTCGTTGTGCCGCTGTCCAGTACTCGAATCGACAGAATAACAAAAAAGAGGGACTGTAATGAGACGTAGAGGAAACAGAAAAAAAAAAATTGCGTCCCTTGCAATCATTGAACTCAGCCCGACCCGCGGGGCGAGGGGGCTTGGCCCTTCGCACCTCCCACGCCGGTTTTCAAATTATAATTCAGTAATCGATCATTTCCGAAAACGAACACGGCAGGCTAACATTCGCTTACATAGTTACACAGTACCTGTGCTATAGTAGATATGATTTACTCTATAGAGTTTACTGTTATGGCGATGTGCTTGTTCCTTTTCTGCATCGAGGTAATGCGTACGACTTTCCTCGTTCCGATAATCAACTTTAGAGGCGACGGTTCCTAGTAAAAATTGTCGTCTCGTCGGTGCGACAAGAAGATTATTTTTCGATTTTCTTTATAGTGTTCTCAACTATTTAGGAGGGCCCCTAGAGAAAACGTCGGCAAAACTCGTAATCGTTACACTTACCGCTTCTGTTTCGTCCTATTTTGTTTATTCGATGAAAAATAATCGTAGAGGTCGGAAATTCCACTGTAATACGTTTATAATTACAGTGTCTCGTACGCGGCTCTTTCCAGACGCGGTGCCGATTGCGTTGTCCACTGCGCCCCGTCCGTTCCGATCCAATAACAAACAGTGAACGTACGCTCACATTTCCGAACAATTAGTTGAGGTACGCCGTTCCCCTGCGTCGCCACTCAGTTCGAGCGCTGTAGCCGTTGTCCCGTTTCACCGACAAATCAATCTCATTTCGCCGCCGCATAATTTATATTATAATGACTGCAATGACTGCCGCAAATCAAAATACTAGGGTAATTTATGACATGAATATTATGGCTTGAAAAAGTTTTTTCTTAACTGAGTTATAACTGTAGTTAATTGTATGTTTTACCCTTAACACTGTAAACGTACCTATAGTGTTAAATTTTTTCTTCGTTAACTTTTAACTGAAGGCCAATTTTATTGAATTAACTTGCAAGTTAATCATTTTCATTAGGTTTCCCGCCTCTGATAATAATTTGGAACTTATAAAAAATTTTGAGTTGCTCGAAAAATAAATCCGGTGAAATGAAACGGCGGCGAAATGGGAGCTGACCAATTTATCGCACGGTTTTTAATATTTGGGTATTTTAAAATTGAAACATGTTTCAATTAGAGGAGCAATTGTTTTTCAAACTGTTTAAGACCTAATAGCTCTAAGAGTTCTGTTTCGAGATCCGCCTTATTTGTTACAATATGATGTGAAATTGGACATGCGTTTTCGATGGCATTAACTAAAACACTGAAAGTCTCGAAATCGTTCTTCGAAGTCGAAAAATAGAAATTCGAGTTTGGGTCCATAGTTACGTACAATTAATTTGTGTATCTGATTCTATCAAACACTGTTCCACTCGTACTTTTTCCAAACATGAAAAATTATTAAAATTATTTAATTCTATCTATAAACCACTTATAAAAAGTTTTGGTTTATTTTTAAAACTAAATACTATTTTGTACTAAGAAATTTTGATCTCGAAGAATGAGAGACACATTTAACGTTTCTAAATGTGTTGTTGCACGATGTCAGTAAAACAAATGTCATTTATTATTTTTTTCTATTACTCCGATCGGTTCTGGGAATTAAACAAATGTATACGGGTAGGCGGTGTTCGAAAAACAAATGTACGGCGATTACGGCGAGTAAAATACGAAAACAGCGTTAACAAAAATATACGTCCCGAAACGGTTAGGTACCAACGCAAAAATACGGGCGAAACAATTATTTATTTATTTTTTTTTTTTTCCGATTGTGCGCCATCACCTATATACCTATATACGCGCGTAATAGTTATTAATGCGATAACAATAATATAATGGCCGACGGTTTAATAACACCCCGAAACAAACCGACGTCAAAACCCATTTGTGAATTGTCCGTCGCCACCATCATCGCGTCGCCGGGATATTTTCCAAAAAACAGTGTCGCGACACCTCGAAACCCGAATATTCGAACGTCGTTTTGTCCGGTACCGGCTACAATGATAACGGTCCATACAAATCCAGCGTGACACCCGCACCCGTTAACGACGTGCGAAGTCTGCGCGCGCGCTTTTAAATTGTCGACCGTTCACCGTTAGGCACGGCTAAGTGGGTATTGCCGCGCGCGTAACCCCGACCCGGCCCTAACCTAACCGTGCGCGCGACACGGTTCCCCGTTTACCAGCCAATCTCTCGTCCAGCGTCACCCCGCGCGTCCCGGAAGACCGGGACCGTCAACGGTTTTCGACTCGTCGTACCGGTGTCCCGAAAATAAATTTCGGTTCGCCAACACGTCCCGGTTTCGCGAACAAATTCGTATTGATTTAATTTCGACATTTTCCTCCGAACAATGGCCGTAATCGAGAGATAACGATACGGTTTTTTAACGTGTACGGTGTAAAACGATAACGACGATCAAACCCCCGCAGACATATCTGTGGACAAAACCTTTTATTATGTACCTAGCAGGGGCGCCGGTGTATTTCGAAACGCCTGCGGCAATTCTATTTTGAGTCGATACACCCACCCACTAACAAAAATTATTCTCTTCGAAACAACATAAAGCATTGATTATTATAACATAATATTGTAAAATGTTTACGGTAAAACAGTAAAACCTATTTTTCTTCACGTTATACCCGCCTACAAACCGACTCGCCGAGCCCACCGATTTATTTACCATTTATGACATTTGCCGTAGGCAAAACCAACTTTCGGCGCTTCTGATGCCTGGTATCCAAACTAGTTATTATAACTGTACAACAATCATGATAAAATTTATCTTTTTATTATAAATTTATAATTCGAAAAAATAACAAATACAATTTTTTAGGTTGTACTGCATCAGTTTATAAGATAATAAGTAGGTTTTTTTTTTTTTTTTAATCCGTATAAACTATAACATAGCTGTCTAATGCGATTCGATCATAGTTTTAGTCTGTTTATATTATTTTGTTTATTTCTTTGCTTTATGATATCATGACAACCCTACAAACCTATTATTATTATTATTATTATTATTATTGTTCCGCAATATAAATACTACGAATCCAGTCGGTTAGGTGTACCTGTACACGGTATATCTGTGTAATGTAACGGCGGTATGGTTAGGTACAGGTATTATACAGCGTGTAGGTATGCGATATAGGTATTATACCCATATGCATACGCGTATATATATTTATGTACGATTTCGCCTCGCTTGTACGGTGTTATTTCGACTGTGCAACGCGTAAAAATGTTTACGGGCAGCTGGTAGGCATACACATTATTATAATATGTAAATTATGCCCGCGTGCGTGTATATTATTTTACGGTGTAAGATTAAAAATCAAAACTCGTCGGTTATATAGGTATGTATATATACAGCTCGCGCCCATATGGCATTGCGGTGTCGCATTTGCAGGCGCTGCGCGAGGCGTGGATAAGTGGCGAATATTGTGTGCAGTTTGTATTATACAGACGACCGTGTTATAAGGAAACATAGGCCTATGGCACGCGATTGTTGTTCGCCCGGACGACGCTGGCGGCGATGACGCTAATGATAATGTTATTATGCCTACATTAGATTTTAATTTATTTTTTTTTTTTTTTTTAAGCCGCATTTCACTATTCCGGTAAGCGATATCGGTATTATATTGCGAAATCGTAAATATATATGTATATACGTATAAAATATCTATTAATTATGTAATAAAAAAAAAAAAAAAAAAACAGCCCATACGGACTAAGCGAACCGGACGATATAACATTATTATATAATATAAACATTGTAAAAGACGGACATGTTTCTCGCACCACGGGTAGGCCGCTCCCAATGTTGTGTACGTGTAAAGTTTTAACTGGCAGTTAGTACTATGCGACTGCCAGTATAACTACCTAAAACAGTTATAGCTACCTACTAAAATATTTGATATTATAAGTAAATAAGTAAGATAAAAAAAAAAATAACAAAAAAAAAAAATCTTAGTACCTAAAGTACTCGTTCGTATTATATATATATATATATATATATGTATAACATTTTAAAATAATAATACAATTTTATTTGATCTACAATAATAGAGTTATAATGTTTTTAGTAAGTATTCATAACAGTAATAAGACCTACAAACAATGCAACATTCAACGATAAAATTATATTTATCTTCTTTTTTTTTTTTTTTTTTTTTTTTAATTGTGAACACAATACTACTAAACTGTCTTGACTTGTATTACAAGTTATATCTAATCAATTGTAAATCAATACGTCATTAACAATAATAATTAAAGTTTAATAGTTATGTGTTAGTCTATTACCTACTATATGTATAGCACTATAGTAACTATAATTAGCGTAGTAACAGGTACCCTTTACGGAATTTGAAACATTTTCTGAAGAGCAAAAAAAAAGACAGTCATACTTCGCACGATGGGTCACTGATGTAGACGAGTAGTTGGAAAGGTAGGATAGAGAGAAGAATTTAATATAGGCATATATATATATATATATATATCCGTACTCTACGATTAGTCATTACGAAAGAAAAACGATTCTAATCAGAGTTCGATTATGTATTTTGTGAAAGGCTGTAATATTTACGATTTTCGTCAAAATTTGATATTAAAATTCTCATAAAAAATCTGCATTACACACAATTTTTTTTTTTAGCTACAATGCATGACTTATATTGAATTTCCATTGGTTAAACCAATGTTCAAGTATTTCTGTTTGGTCTGAACATTTTATAGATCTTTTAGACTTCTATAGGGGATGATGTAATATCCACATCACGCTATTCTGAACATTAATAATAGGTATTAGGTATTATAAGTAGATATAGGATGTTGATGACCTAAAAAACTGCCAAATATGCCCCTCCCCCTCAAATAATGCTTTAATGATCTTAAGACTAAGCATGAAATACATTTTTAGTTATGTATCATTATATAGGGTAAAAGGAAATAATGTACAAAAGTCATCAGCAATATATCTCTACATTTATAACAGATTAGGTACATGAAGGAAAACAAATATTTGTTTATTTGTTTCAAGTAGGTTCGGTTAACCTACTGTCCCGCCACCTGAAGTATTATCTCACGGCATTTCCAGATGGCGGGTGTATTGCCGATTCAGAAAGGAGAAAAAAAAAAGGTTAACCTACTGTTTTACTTTATTCTGTAATTTATATTAAGATTTTATTTGTTTCCGAATTTAGAATGATTATACGCATTAGTTTCATAATAAGGACGATTGTTTTATTAGTATTGTATAATAATACAGTACCCTGGAATAAGAAAATTGAATGTCTCGAGCGCCCTCATTATTATTGATAATTGCTAATGAATTATTCAAACATGCGGTTACATAAAATTAAATATTTTGACCTTGATATGTCAGGGTAATAATAATAAACTCTTTCAATAATCAGTCTCTGTGCAGTATTCCACTTTAAATATTTTATTTTTTTTTTTTTTTAATTAAAAAACTTAAAATAACTTAAACACTAGCTGTTATGGAACAATTGGAGATAATTTAAAAATTATATATTTTTAAAAATGTTCCAATTAATATTAATCTATATTAAAATTAATATATCATTTTATTTTTTAATGTATAAAATAATTGTCCTCTAAAACAATTTACGTGTGATATATAAGTACCTATTTCACATATACAGAGTGACCAATCTATTGTAAGACACTTATTATCTCGGAAAGTATTAACTTTTTTGAGAATTTTTTTATAGACCATTTAATAAACAAGCAGTTTTATACAATTTTCCATTTATGTTATTTTTTTTATCCTTTTTTTTAGAAGTAAAACCACTAACCAACTACTTAACAACTACCTACATTTGATTTCAAATGGCAACCTATATTAAAAATATTGACGAGATAATCCACTTTTAAGTTTGGGTCGGGGGAGAGTAGTGGTACATTAATAAAACGCTGCCCACGCCGTGCCGCCATAATGAAGATTCTTCACTACTCTCCCTTAATCCAAACTTACAAGTGAAATATCTCGTTAATATTTTTAACATAAATTGTCATTTTCAAATCAAAAATTGGTAGTGATTTTACCCACAAAAATAAAGGTGATAAAAATAATATAAATATAAAATTATAGAACTGCTTGTTTCTTAGATATTCAATAAAACAAATGAAGAACAAATTTAATATTTTCCTAGATAATGAGTGTCTTATGGAAAATTTATCAACCTGTATACAACGCTAAAATATAAAATATTTCAACTTGATTTGTCTAATATAGCTGGTAAACGAGTCATCGTTCCTATTTTTTTATCTACAACGTTTTCCAAAGGTTACATTGTTTTGTTGATGCGTAATCAACTGTGTTGTAGATGAAATTATAAAATAAATATTGAAACTTAAACATTTTACCTACTATCGCACTATGTTTATAATGATAATTAATAATAAATATTACTTCACATCATACGAACGATTATATCATTTTACGTTCTTACTCAAGTTAGCTACTAATCTAGAGAATCCTAAATTCTTTTCCAAACACCTTTAAATTATATTATAAAGCCTCCAAATAGACTTGTTAATCGTATTCGGTATACTGTTATATACGGTATACGGTTTATTGTTTAAAAACTACCAATATTTACGTAGTTTAAAAATTAGTTTAAGTACTCGTACTTATATTAAATGATCCATTTAGGTGAGTACACTCATTATCTCGGAAAGTATTAACTTTTTCAAAAAATTGTTTAACAATAAATGTAAGAAATAGGCATCTTTAAGAATGAAGAAAATTTAACATTTCAACACCAACATTTATTTAAACTAATAGGTACCTACTTCATTTATTGATCGAATTTTTAATATACCTAAAGTAATAACCTATAGATAGGTTATCACTAAAAATCCGAATTAGGTAGTAGTTTCATCACCGAAAACAATGTGTGACAAAATTAATGGTAATTTAACATTGTAGAGCTGCTTGTTTCTTTAAGTATAAAAAAAAAAAAGTTTTGAAAAAAGTTAATACTTTTCGAGATAATAAGTATGCCTGTTAAATAGATCACCGGATATGTAAATATCCATACCATATTATATTGTTACAAAAAGCAGTTTCCGTAGAAATTAACCTTTTTTATTTCCACGGAATGTGGCCCTTTTCCATAAATACCCGTTTCCACCAATTTCCGCTAAAACAATATTCCTATTATACTATGTAAAAAAATACATCATCACCACAGAAGAATGTTGCAGCGAATAATGCGAAACGTATATAATAATAAACGTGACTCAATATTATACTCGCAATACTTTAACTGTTCAAACGCAATTATTGATAAAGAAAAACATTGAATCATACCCTCGAATAGATAGGTTCTACCTTAAATTTAATATCTAACAAACGGGACATTATAACATTATATGATAGAATGGGCGTGAAATAGAAGTTAATTATTATCTATAATATATTACGAAAACAACAAAATAATAAAGTAATATTATTGAGTTTGAAAAATGATATCGAGAAATATGTAAATATTATTGGCTACGTATCGATGAGTAAAGATTATGGGTATAATGTGTAATTTAATAAATATTTATTTATGTTAATAAGTTAAAGCTAACTAATAATATAATATATGAGTCATATGCTTATAATAAAATCAAGTGAATAGGTTATTGATATATTTCGAACAGGAAAGTTCAAAACTAAATTTCCAAAATAAAAACCAAAACACCTATCGATATTGGCAAAAAAAAATCGATACTACATAAATAACGTTTTAGGTGGACACGTTAATTATTATAGTTAATTAAATATATTAAGGTATTCTTGTTGTGTGCGATCCACCGTACACTTGTCATCTACTACGCATCTATACCGATTCATTTCCACCGAGTCGACAATTAAATTCTATCCGAAGAGATAATTATATTTTATGTAACATAAATAATGGGCAATAATAATTTGTATACAATGTTAATTACGTAGACAATAAGTACTATTATGTTTATAATTGATTGTATTTAGGCATTCGATTTGCACGTTTGTGTATTATTGAATGATGTTAACACTAGACTGTATATAAATACTATATTATACATTTCTTTTTATTATTGTTTCAACATTTATGTATTTATTCATTCATTAGTTAAATATAAAAAGTCGTCCTAGGATAATGGGGACGAGTGCAGCCACTGTATAATAGGTAATTTAATGCATGTATCTATAAGCAACGATTGACCATTGCTGTAACGAAAAAACGATTCTGAGCGGAGTTCGGTTGATAGTATTGCTTTGTTAACAATATATATGTCATATGGTTAAGCACTTATATATGCATTATATATTTTCTCTTTTAATATATGTTTAATATTGTACCGATTTTCCTGTTTTTCTTACGGGTTTTTCATGTTTTTTCTGGTTTTTCCCATTTATTGGGAAAACTCTTGGGAAAATAAAAAAATAACTTCCAGTAAGTATCAACCAAAGAAAAATTTCTTTCAGAAAAAGGTATACATCATAAAAATCGAAGTGAGTTTTCTAGTACAAAAAGTGTTCATATAAAAAAAAAATACAAACAAATTAAACATCTTTGTACTGTTAATACATTCCACGCTCCACTCCGAATCTAAAATATGTAATCGACCGCATATGAGAATAATATAGGTAAGAATATCTATATTATTATATAGTTTGATTAAGACTGTGAAGTTGGCACCCGCTCCTTTGAAGCTATCGCTTTCAAATCAATGTTAATATTTTACAACTGATATGCAAGAAATAGCAATGTTAATTATAGTTAAATTTGCAACACCGCCCTTTTTCAGAAAAATCCAATTTTAACCATATCAAATCTTGAACAGAGAACAAAAATTACTCTGCGAGATTGTATTTCTGAGGTATCGAAAGCTTGGAGAAGTGATGTAACGTCCGAAACCATAAAAAAATGTTTCTTCAAAGCTGGATTTACAAATGAAATTATTGAAACCGATATTGAAATACCAGATGTACAACGAGAATGGGAGTTAGTTCACTGCGATGGCGTTACTTTAAAAGATTATTTGAAAATTGATGAAGATATCGCCGTATATGAATCACTTACTGAAGAAAGTATTGTAGAAGAAGTTAGAAAAAAAGAAAATCCTGATGAATTTGAAGAAGAAGACGACGAAGAGGAACATGCAGTAGAACAATCCAAACTCACAGAAGAAGATACATTAAACGCTTTATCAGTGGTAAGAAATGGTTTTAGACAAGAAGCAAATGTTCCCGATGAAATTTTTTTAAAACTTGACGATATAGAAACTTTTTACGAAAGAAGAACAATTTTCAAAAATAATAAGCAAACAAAAAAATAATAAGCAAACAAAACTTACAGATTATTTCTTTTAAATTATATTTAAGGTTAAAAATTAAATTAAACTGTAATATGATGTTTGATGTTATAAGCAAACAAAACTTACAGATTATTTCTTTTAAATTATATTTAAGGTTAAAAATTAAATTAAACTGTAATATGATGTTTGATGTTGTTTTTTACATACATACATAATTAAATTTAAAACGTAATAAATTATATTTAAGGTTAAAAATTAAATTAAACTGTAATATGATGTTTGATGTTGTTTTTTACATACATACATAATTCAATTTAAAACGTAATTTTATTTAACGAATTCCTCTATATAACGAATTATTTTGGCTGCTTATTCGACTTCGTTATATAGAAGTTTCACTGTATATGATAACTTATTATGTCGATACACTTTATGTTCTTATTTCGATTTTATCCTAATATCTAATCGAACAAATATTTTGTAATAACATTTTCCATTAATATTTAGTTCAACAACATACATTTCCCGGCTAATCCAATTTTTTCGTTGTGCATAACAAGTTCACGCAGCACTCCTTCCCCCTTGAAACTATCGACTTCAAACCAACGTCAATATTTCGCTACTGATTTACCGGAAATAGCAAATTTCAAAATTAACAAATTTGCAACACCTCTAACGCAAAAAACGGTATTTGTATTATTTAAGGGATTCTAAATTTGTGCAAGTTTATTCCAAGGACTACAACCCGACAATATTTTTTGAAAATTGAATACATCAATTTTTTATTTTTTATTCTATGCCTAAAATGTGCATAATATTCAAATAAAAATCGATTTCTATATGGAAGATACTATATGTTGCAAATTTAAAATTATTAGTGATTACACGAAAAAGAGGTTTATTCTGCATTTGAAAAGACATTATTTTTATCGAAGGATTTATATTTTTACTTAGAAAGAGTTATGTAACTGAAACTTACAGAGACCGACGTTGAAAATATTAAATATGATAGAAAAAATATTGTCAGGTAGTAGTTGGTAGAATAACTTTCACAAAATTAGATCCCGTTAAATGATTCGAATACCATTTCACGTGTTAGAGGTAATGCTTTATGAATCTGCATGCTTAATAATAACATGCTATTTGGAGGGGGCACGGTGTACATATACACACAAATTCTACAATCATTTTCATTCCTTAAAAATGATAAATCATACTTACGAATTGCAATCAGAGATAACAGACTGCAGAGCGATTTTATGGTTTTAAATGTTGAGAAAAAGAAGCTGAAAGCATTTATTTATATAAGGCTAGAGATTTATTTTTAAATATCAAAAAACAAAGATGCTCGCTTAAGTAATACAGGCTTATATAATTATTTAAATACATAGAACTGATATTATACTTTCCATTTTATCAATAGCTTATTTATTATTTGAATTGTATGAAAATTCGATTGCCTGAAGTTTTTAAGCTTAACTAATAACTTTATATTTAAGTTATAAACTCGATTTGAATAATTAATTTTAATTTCCCATTTTGCTTAATATCTTAAATTATAATTTAAGACTTGTCAAACAGTTTTATAACTTGAATTTTATTGATAATGCGTTGAGTTTGCTAAAAAGTATAGGTACCTGCTATTTAAAAATATTAGGTACCTGTAGTATAAACACAATTTTAAAATTTAAAACTTAAATAAATTGTATTGTAATATAATATACAACACACCTACACATTATGTATATTGTATATATATTTTCTAGCTATGTTACCCAGCTTTGCCCGAGTTAGACAAATGTTTATCGTTCTGATTATAGAACGTGTATACAAAGATATAGTTTACATGCATTCCTGTTCACTTTTATTTATGGGTGTAGACATCCATATTACAGTATTATGCTTAATTTCAAAGAAAACAAAATGCGTAAATAAATGTATAGAGATTTATTTTAGCAATATTTCTTGTAGGTATATAATAATATTTAATAATAATTATCACATTATTTTCGTTCGAAAATCGTTTGTGTGAAATTTCTACAGATTCTATAACTGAGTTTATTTTATAATACCCTATGCGGTGACTACCTGCACTTTTACTATGATGATGGTTATTCAGGCTGTATAACTATAGTAATTATTATTTCATCTATCAATCCGGACCGTCAGTAAAACGTATACATACATATTCTAAAAAACATAAACATGTATATATATATATATAGGTACCTATATAATGTGACCTTACTGTTTTTTAAACCTGTGAGCTATAGCCTATATTAAAACCGACTTGTTGACATATTATTACGTTTTTTTTTTTTTCGTATATGTTTGTGCGCGTTTCATAACGCAACGAATACCTCCACTTAAAATATTGATCGGTCGTTTGAGTTTTACATATTATATATATTTTTTATACACCTAGTATACATTCGTTGAGCCTTGAACGCGGTTAAAATAGTTATTCATATTAAATTCACTAGGCTGCGGTATGTGTTATGTGTGCCTATTAATGTATAACACACCACTAAACACGCCATTTTTATGATAATGATATATATACAAAATTCCCACTATACGTATAACGAACAGCTGCGATTTGTTTATTTGGTATCTTTAGTTTTTGTATAATAATAAAAAAAGTAAAATAATTGTGCATTTAGCATAAATAGCATTATCATAATCTACCGAAACAAAAAGCAACAGTCATTATAGGCATTTAGAACATTTTAAAATTGAAAAACTCGACAAGGTACCTATAGACAGTATATTTATTTTCAACCTTATCGAAAGTGATGAAACTTCATTATAACTTTCTTTAAAAGCAATAATAGTATTAATTTTTTATTTAAAACTATAAAACCGACAATGAATTAACACATCAGACGTGGACAGTATATTGGGGAAATGTTTCTAAGAGAAAGTTCGATATAGTGAAGTGATTGTCGATTTTTTTTATTTTATATTTTAGTGCATACAAATTTTCAAACATGTTAATTATGTTTAAACAATATACATATACCTATAAGATTTAGTATATTATTATATTTTTTAATACAAATTTCATCGAAATTATATTGTGAAATTAATAAATTCAATTGAAATTCAAGTTTCGTTTTTTTTTTTTTTTTTTTTTTATTTATACATATATATATATATATTGTTTAATATACAATACGTTTTATAATATTCTTATATGAAAACGGAGCCATACGCATTTTATTTTACCGCAATAAAGTGGACAATGATGTAGTGACTGTTCAATGTACATAATATACTTGTTGAATTTTTCTATCTTATAGATATAAAGATAAAGAAAAAAAAAAAACCGCTCTTAAATTAAACGTAATATAAATTCTACTTGAAGTAAAGTTCTCATTGTGTCAATAGAAATATAAATAGGTAGATGCGAAAACAATCTTAGTTACCTATTGTAATAATTGTAAACCGTGAATAAATATTTATCAAAAGCTTATTAGGTTAAAAATTAATATCTTTCTACGAAAATATAATATATGTATAATATATATATATATATATATGGCGATATTTGTCATTTTTTTTATAGGTATAATATAATGTTTCATAATATTATACAATAGCATATCTTATAAAAAGTTTCATCGACTTATTATCGTGTGTTGTGGCGTGTGTTTATTGTACTCGTGTAACATTTAATTTTGATTTAATATTTATAATTGATTATTATTTATTTTTAAACGACGAACGGTCTAATATTATCAATAACACACATATATAGGTGCAAAAAAAAAGTTAATATCGTGTGCGGATCCAGAAATTATTCAAAAGGGAAGGGGAATAGTATTAAAATATATCCGATACCAAAGTGTATGTAGGCTTATTTCATAGGGCAGTGTCTACAAATATTTTATTATAGCATGCAGAGCAATTACTCCTCTCTCGTTTCTTTGGATCCGCCAATCCAGCATAATTATATAGAAATCAAATGAAATTTGGTTGTCTACTGCCGATATACCTATGCTAAAATAATAATAAAAGACAAATATATATATATATATTTATGTATGCATACACGTAATAGAAAATACTTATATGTGCATTTCGTCAAAGTTTTTATTTGATTGTATATAATAGTTTAAAAACAAAAACGCGATACTATATTTATATAACGATTCGTGTACCTACGATTAGTGTTTAAACAGCTTAAACAACATGCGCTAATGAACAAATACATGACGTCGCATTGTCTGACAGACCGAATCCGGTGTGCATGTAAAAACAGTTCTCTATTTGACGTCGTACAATTTCTAGTGATGTGAAATATGTCATTTGGAATATGTTATTATAAATATAATATATATATATATGTATGCATACATGTATGCAATTTATTTTATTAACTTTCAACATCTTTTAACATCTCTTAGAGGCGCTTTATAATCATAGTTGTATTACAGTGATAGCGGTACAATATCATTAATCAATAACCGCCGTACGAATGATTTACGTGTACTTATTTATCATATTTAGTTTAGTTTATATTGTCGTGACACATATCGGTATCTAGTGGGTAATCGAACGTATAATGTAGTACCTACGCGCAAAGAGGTTATCGCTTAAAATCGAAGAAAAACACACGAGCACAAGCCGGAGGAAAAAAAGTGCCGGAAAACCATCATGAGTGACGTCCACCTGGAAGATCTGTTCCACGAATGCGATCGGAACGGCAATGGGAAAATCGGCCCGGAAGAATTTCAAGAGTTATGCGCCAAATTCGATATCGGCCCCAGCGATTCCGACGTTATATTTACCGACCTGGACCGGGACGGCGACGGGCAAATATGTCTAGAAGATTTCGCGTGGGGGTTTCGCGATTTTTTAACGCCGGGCAAACAAGATAAACCCAATAAAATGATGTCTTCCGGACATTCGTCGGACCGGAGAAATTCGCAAGCTTGGGCAAATTTTGTCGCCGTCATCGGTGAACCGGCTTTAAAAAAATTGTTCCATACGAGGTATTTTGAATACAAGTTTATTATGCGCATTATAATGGTTATTTGCATGTATAATTTAATATGGTATAATATAATTTAATAGTTGGGATGTGGGCGAAGGAGAAGAAAATAATAAAATATTTAGAAAATTATAACCAGACATATTTTCGATTATTTTTTTTCTTTTATAGTACCGTACTTACTGTTATATGTCAATTTGTGAACCACGAGTTAGATTTAAAAAAAATTATATTTTTATTTGATATCAATTATAGAAAAATGTGCAAACAAATGTTTCAATAAAAACAATTGTACGCATTCTTTTACTAATAGGTTTATTTATTAGAGTTAAGATTATTTCAGTTTTATATACTTTTTATGTGTAAACTACGTCTTCATTTCAAAATACTTATGTGTTTTATCTACAATAATTTTAAATTTAATGATAGGGAGTTGAAATTCAAAAACGGATATAAAAATATGATTCAATATCGTCAATTACGTTTAACGATACACAGGACTATGCATTTTACTAAAAATATGTCTAGTCGTATTTTTCTAGAAATAAAAAAAAAAAAAATTGAATTAAATGTTTATATCATCTAACGCACATTACACAAAAGTAATTTAGTATTGTCAAATACAAATTTACGTAGGTAGGTGTGTATACAGATTACATTCAAATACAGATATTACATTACCTATACATAATATATGTATAAAAAAAAAACTAACTAACTAACTAACTACATTTGTAGTTTATTTACAGCTGATTTATAAACTATACGCTGTAACACTGTATAATATAATTGCACTAAGGTGAAATCCAACGAATAGTCCAACCTATTATACCCTTTTATATATACTTGCTTTTTGATATTTAAGTACAGTAGAAACTCGATTAACCGTCAGTCACGGGACCGGGACTATGACGGTTTAACAGAAATTTCGCAATAAACATTTAGGTATATTTTATAGCGTATGTATTTGCTGACAAAAATAATGAAATAATGATAAATAATAAATAATAATAATACATAATAACAATAAAAACAATACCATACTAAAAAATACTAAAACAAAATAATTCGTCATGTTCTTCTGTTTTTTTTTTTTGAGGCATGAGCTTTTTGAGCGGTAATGTTTCGTATTTTACGAAGAAGTAAGGTGACCGATGACGGATAACAGAGAGTGATAGTTAATCGAGTTTCTACTGTAATTCTTTTTTATTTAAATATGGACAATGTTATAATAATTTCAATTAGAATTATACGGTTATATGCATTATTTATATTATATAGTAAAACAATTTATTTTTTTTTTATAACGTTTTACTCTTATGCTTTTAGTGGAAAAAAATTAGCGGATTTGTATATGGAAATTCAAAATTGCAGTCCTTCGTCAGAACTTATATCGCATTTCGAAGGAGCTTTAAGTTCACTGATGGAAGATGTGAAACGATTACACGAAGATAATGAAAAACTCGAAGATATGTTTAATCGGTATAAATAATAAAAATAATAAACTATGTCTAGCTTATTTGTTTGTTTTTTTTATAGTGAACGACAAACACATTTAATTAGACTACGAGGTTTGGAAGAAGAAATAGATGCTCAAGTAGCGAAGGTTGAAGCTCAGGCCAGAGACGAAGCACGAGAAAAATTTGAATTCGAAAAGAAAGAATTGATGAAAAAAATGGAAGCCGAAACGATAGAATTAAAAACACATTTGAAACTGTTTCAAAAGGCATTTACTATTTATATCTAAATATTATTTTCGTGTAATTTATTGAATCATTTCGATATGTTGTTGGTAGGTTAATACGGTGTTAAGTCAGAAGAAAGTCGATAAAAGTGACATGGACGAAACCATCGAAGAGTCGCGAGAACTGAGGCGTAAACTAATCGATACGCAAACGAATCTGGCAGTAGTCCGTTCGGAAATGGAAAAACTTCGGTCCGAATACGAAATGAAATGTGAGCAGTTTAATAACAAGTACGAAATACATATTACATTGTACTTAATGTTTTAAAATTTACAAACAATGTATATTTTTACATTATATCTTGTTGTACATAATATTAACTTAATAGAATAGAAGTGAATATCGACCCGTTCGAAGAACAAAGTGGAGCTCAATACACTATAAAAAGATTAATGGATGATATAGGTAATTTCATAATCACCACAATGATTGCTACAAAGTATAATTTTGTAGAAATCTTTATAATATTTTAACAAAACATGTATCAGATAGTGGCCGTTCGACGCTTATGGAATCGAATAATTGTTACCAGAGGGATTTACAAGAAGAGCTCTCGAACGCGTCTTCCATAAACGCACCTTATCATTCGGCAAAAACGGTATTTACATTGTATAAAGCTAAAGCTAAATTACAAAACAAATCAATGAAATATAAATAATTTCTTTGTTCCTCAACAGTTTTTAATGAATAACGTACGTATTATAATACATTTGAAGAGCAAGGTTTTAAATCCCGAGGCATATTATTAGTCGGGATGTTGTTTTAATAAAACTCGAATGGTTACATTCGACGTATTTTATAATAATATTTTTATTTTCGACCATAAACCTATTACGATAAACATATTTGTTTGTATTCCATTGTTAATTCAATTTTCTATAATGTGTAATTTTATTTTCCTGACATCCATAATTGAATTCCATAAGGCCAATTTGGTTTCAAAAGTAAGTTGTGTACAAGTAATTTAGACTTTATTCCGAGTTTTAAAGATGGGCTCCTATATGAATATCTAGGCGTAAAGAAAGTTCACGGTTTACATTTATATTTATTAAAATAATACGAAGAAGAGAATAAAATATTCAAGTTTGTTAAAAAGTCTAATGTATCAGTATACTGTTCAAAAGGTTTGCGACACATCTAATAATACTACTCATATTCCATGATTTGTTTTTGACTGAAAAACTTCGTGTTGATACTTTGACAGTTGAGTGATATTTGCGAAAGTTAAATCGTGTGTCTGGAATAATTTTTTTCTTTTTTTTTTTTTAGTGTATGGGATAAATAAGTTTCAACCTATTAGAATGAGTTGTTTTTGAAAATATAAAGAAGAGGATGGAGAAGGTTTTGAGTAGAATATTTTAAAATTGTACTGTTTTTTTTTTTCCTAACACTAATAGTTAAAGACTATTAATAGTTAAGATTTTATTTTCCAAGCGAATTTATAATATTATTATAAAAACCGTGCACTGTCTTAAAAATCAATAAAATTACAGTATCTTACAAATTCATTTTGAAAATTATTCCCGTTTTCTGCAGGTAGATCGCAATTACAAAGTTTCCTAATTAAGCATCTATCGGTATATTCACGAATATTCAGTATATTATTTTATTGTATTTTGAAATAGGCAGGGAAGTAAAAGTAAAACTCTAAATTTCATATTGTGCTCACGTCAATAATAATTGAATATATTTATAAAATCATTTAAATAATGATAAATTGATTTCAGATAGAATTCGAGGAAATGAGTTTATCAGGCCACGATTCGCAAAATATGATGCATTTCCACACGCCGGCCAGCGCGATGAGTATAAGCAGCTATGACATGATTGGCGGCGATCCCGAAAGAACGTACAAAATCGTGTTCGCCGGCGACGCGGCTGTCGGGAAAACGTGTTTCATACATCGTTTTTGTAAAGGGACGTTCGCCACAAAACTCGGATCGACCTTAGGTTTAAATACAAAATAAAAAAATAATATTATTATTTGCTTAGGGACGGGCGATTCGATCCCTATCGATACTTTCGATACTTAAGACGCTGTATCGAATATCGAAATTGAGGTATTTCTGGTATCGATTTGTAATATTGTTTTAAAGTATGTTTTATAATACACAAACTGTTTCGCAATACTTTGCCCGTGCAATAAAAAAGTTTCTAAAGAAAATTAATAGACAAATTATCAATATACGCTATAATTGGATTTTTATACTAAAAAATATATCTAAAAACCGAATGTTAGGGACTAGTATTCAATAGGGGATGGATTTAAAAAGCTATAAATCATCTCCGGATAACGTCGAACAACTTCCCAAAGTTGCATAGCGTTCGGATGAATGGCGTAGTAATTTATGAATCAGCGGTTCCCAAACTATTTCGTCTTATGGCGTCCTTTTGGAACTGAATTTTTCTCATGGCGCTCCCTGATAAAATCGATGACCATTTTTTTTAGATAAAATAAAAAATAGAACATTTTAAGGATAATAAAAAAAAACTATTATTTAATTATAATCATAAAGAAATTATTTTATAAATTTTATTTTATTAAGATTTTATACATTTTTAGAAAACATTAAATTAATGGGATGGATGCGCTTGCAAATCACTGCACAATTTTTTAAATCTCGGAATCAAAGTAGACACAACCACTCTCATTTCTTTTTCTACATTTATTTTTGATCGATATTTGCTTTTTATCACTGCAACCACCGTTTTATATTTAGCGATTCTATAAGCCACTTTGTAAGATGCTAACAAAGCATTTTTTGGTATTGATACATTATTGAGAAACGTACTTTTTTTCAGTTTGAGTTCTTTTAACTTTCTCGAAAAAAATCACAAGATTTTCCTACTGCGTGCTTGTGATTCGCTTCTAAATGGCGTTTCAATTTATTCGGCAACATGCATTCTGGTGCCAAAAATTTCATACACAATACAAACAATAGTTTTTTCTTACCATTAATTTCCGTTAACGTAAAACCAAATTTCAAATAACTATTTTTCTACTTACGATATTTTCACTTTTTTCACAACCGTACCATGACTGATTGAAGGTATACTTTCTTCATCTTCACAACGTTTATTATTATTCAATAAAAATCGATCCATTGTTAAAAATAAAAGGAACCGGATGCCGCGGCGCACACTTTGGGAACCACTGGTATAAAGGATAAGCAATCATACATTCGTTTTTATATAATAGACAAAAAAAAAGGACATAATTCTCACGTGGATGCAGCCACTGTTGTAGGTGGAAAGTTTAGAAGGTAGGGTACAGAAGAGAATTGAATGTATGTCTGTAAGCAACGATAAACCATAGCTAACGAAAAACGATTCTGATCTATTCTGCGATTCAGTTGATAAATAGATTAATATTTGTACATTTAAACAAAGGTATCGTGTATCGATTCTGAATTTTTGATGTCGCCTGTCTCTAACACTAATAATACAACGGAATAAATATACCTACCTTTTATGTAATGTAAATGCAATAAAAGAGCTGGTACAGCTGATGGGTATGACACTGTTGTAGATGGGAAGTTGGAAAGGTAGAATGCAGACAATTATTTAATTTATATCTTACGCAACAATGACTCATTGCTACACGATTCTAAGCGAAGTTTGAATTCTAATTTTATCACGTTTAGAAAAGGCCAATACAACTATTCTGTAAACATTTCAAATGTCTATGGTTACTTTTATTCGAATTACAACAAAAAGCAAAATCGAAAATAATGAAACCACCGTTATTTTCGTAAACTTTCCCGTTTTTCCTACGTTTTTTTTTTCGATGTATCTCAGTTACTAAGAAAATTACTTGGAATATAAAAATGATTTCCTGAGTATACTAACATGGTCTTAAACGGAATAAAAAAAATCTTCAGCCATATTTTGTTTGAAGCAAGACCTCTAGTAGTAAAGTTGCTTACAGAGAAAAGAAAAAAATCGTATATACATAGTAAAACCAATACAATCTACGCTGTGCTCAAAATTTAAAATAAAATAAAGAATGTATTAAGGAATTATATCCGTAGATATTTGAAAAGACGAAAATATAATATAGAATGTAACAGGACAATATTCTTGGCCGAAATAATATATAAAAACATCATCACGAATAAGTTATTCTTTTTTGCTCATAATCCGGTAAATAAAATTTCTCGCGCCAAGATCTGAATCCGCCCCTGCCTATAATAATAACAATAAATAGCTTTATAAACGAACGAACACTGTGATTTTTCTTGGCACACGTCGATACTCATAATAATTTTATATTTGACTAAAGTCGATTATCACCGTTTGTCAACGAACTAAACGTTTACTTCCGTACTTCGGTGGTAATTGATTTCCATAGTAACAACATGTTTTACGTACTTACTCGTATGATAATAATCTAATTTACATGTATTATTGGATCGATCGTTACATAAATAATATTATAGGAATTATAACATGAAAAGTTGGTAACATTATATTTTAACCTATAACTTTTAAAGATAAAAAATATATTATTATTGTTTACCTAGATTATTTTTCCGATTCAGATCTAAACGACTGCAATGGATTTTGCTATCGATTTATTATTTTACAATAACATTATGGTTCGGAAAATAATAATACCGCGGAGCCTTGACATTATTATGATAATTTATTACTATATATAAAGTATTCTAAAACTATTTGATATAGGTAGTACCTATAAATAGCATATTATTCTAGTGTAGTGTACTAGTGTGAATAAACACTATACGTTATAAATCAGCGGTTCTCATCCTTTATGTGTTGACGGCCCAAGATATTTTCCATGCGATCTTTTTGAAAATAATTTTCACTTGGGGGCTACCCACTCTACCCAATCCACTTCATTGTTCAATTACTATGACTTAAAGAAACTGTATTACCTTTTATTTATTTTTAAAGTGATATACACGACTAAACGAGTAATGGATACCTCGTGAAGTTCACAGTATTAATAATTGATACCGAAACAAATGATCGTCAACAACTTATTTAATCGTTTTCGTGAATGTCAACCGATAAAGTATAATTATAACATTGAAAGATAATAGTTTAATATTACAAATTTTTACTTGTTTGTCAAAAAAAGTAATTTGCGAGAATTATTTCATTAATTATTTTTGAAAACTATTTTATACAAGTAGTTTAAAATGAAATTATAACATGAACGTTTTAATTATTAGAGATCTATTCAGAATTACCTATTCTCAACCCAAAATTGGGTCATGATCCTATAGTTGAGGAACGCTGTATAAATGATAAAAAGCGGCCATAATTTGCACGTGGATGAAACACTATTGTGGGTGAGAAGTTGGGAAGATAATAGAAAGGAAATTTAATGTTTGTCTGTACGTAACGATTATTGCTAACGAAAAAACTATTCTGAGCTGATTTCGATTGATAGTGTGGTTTTGTCAACAATATATATATATATATATATATATATGTTATATTATGGAAAAATAATTACATTTGCATTATATATTTGCTTTAATAATACCTATTTGTTTAATATTGTACCTATTTTCCGTTGTTTACTACTTCCTATGTTTTTCCCGGTTTTTCCCACTTTTTATAAAAACAGCTAGGAAAATAAAAAAATGACCTCCCTAAGGTACCACCTCAGTCAGATTTAATTTTAGAAAAAGTGCAATCAATGTAAATCGGAGCAAAATTGCTGGTAGAAAAGTTGTCCTCTGAAAAAAAAATAAACATTATTGTAAAGTCAATACATTTCTCGATGCACTCAAAATCTAAAATAAAACTAGTATCACCTATAGATTATTGTCGAAATTCCAAGCAAAAATTATCAGTACAAAACGGACGGGGGAAGGAAACGGAAATTTCACTTTTTACTACTTTATTGTCAATATTGTATTTTTTTTTGAAATTTTAACTTGATTTTACAGGTGTTGACTTCCAAGTGAAAACGATCAGAGTTGACGACAGAAACGTAGCGTTACAGTTATGGGATACTGCAGGTAAATTTTCGAGAGAAAAAAAAACTAAAATCTTCAAATAAATTACTATTTCTAGATAACTATAACTTTTATGTTGAACAATTCTGCTTACAACACTATTTCCGGCACTCAAATACTCAATACATTGATAAATCAATTTTACTGCCACCTGCAGTCACATAAACAACGCGTGTTTAATTATGCATTGGATCCGTCGTTTCTGTGCGAAAAGAATATTGTTGGTTATACGTGGAAGTGTTTTTTGTACCTATTGCCCATTTTTTATTTAAGTCTTTGTTTGCAAATAAGAGTATACGGAAAATTACATCCAGTAACGTATTATCCATATATGGACAGGAATAATTTAAATTGTACATAAACCATACTTTGATGTGATTATTATTTTTTTTTTTTAGAGTTTTTCTCAGTAGTTTTTCATTAAAACCTGTAAAATATAGTAGCTATATCAACAATTTTTAAGTAGGTACACTTATCTATCAAATTTGGTTATTATTCATTATTATTCATAAACAAATAATTTCAAAGACTTCATGATTTTTTCGGATTATCAAATGTATAAGTACCTGAAAAAAAAATATTTATGTTCTTTAAATTTCACAATAATTAAAAAACAACAGTTAAAATACATTATGTGTATATTATTTTTTTTTACATATTATATTAAAAGATTTTCAAAAGACAATTTCACAAATACATAATAACTTGAAATGATTGTAACGAGGATTACTACTAGAGCCGCATTTTTCAATGCGAAGAAATGTATTTTTATTGGTTGATCTAAGTCCATGCTTTCCAAGTACATGGTTTGTTTAGTATAATTTTAATTATAGATAGGTACTGTAATGATCCAAATGTTTATTTTGCGTTTTTCCTGATTTTTTTGGTTATTTTGTAAGTTTTAAGTGCATACATTATACGAATTAATAGTCAATTAATAGTAAACTACATTTAGGTAATATAAAATATTATACCAAAAAATTGAATTTACTTTAATATACTATAATTATATACTTACTTGAAGTACTTTAATATATTATATCTATAGAGTTTTAGGTATTCTTCTTCAGTACATATTATTATCAATCAATTTATTTATGATTTCAATAACGTTTATATATTATCTTGATTAATAGTTGTAATAGTAAATCACTCGGGTTCAAATGAATAAAAACCATAAAAATGAAAATTTAATTTTCCATTTTCGTTGTTTTCTATTTTTAGAGGATTATTATAGCATTTTTAGATAATTTTGATAGATCATATTTCGCTAAAAGGTTTTTTTATGCCATTTCGGGAAAAAGTAGATATAGTGATCAGAATCAGCATTTGTACTTTCTTAACTTCTGAATGCAACTGCTATGTCCTTTATTTATTAATATGCGGTCAATTTCGATTTTGAGTCCATCAAATGACTTCCAAGTGTGTTTGTGTATATATTTCCTGGGAAAATATGTGCTGCTTATAATTAGATCTTTTGAACATGCACAATTTACTAATTAGGTTTCATTTTCATTACTGGTATACCAATAGTTGGCCTATATATCTACTCTCTTTATCAACTTTCGTATTTAGATTCCCTACTATCATCTTCACACAATGTAGATGCAATTCGTTCTATACTGTTTTCTAGGTCTTTTTCTGTTTTATGTCCTTATTTTTGTCCTTTGTAGGTGCGTAATAATTTATGATAATTAAGACAAATATCCTTATTCCTGTCATTTGAACATAACAGATCCGGTCATTGACCGACTAAAAAGTTTTTCACGATTGGTAGTATTTTATCATGTACCATAAAACCTATTCCATTTTCGTGTTTTTCATTATTGTTACCATTGTAAAATAATTTTATATGTTCTTAAATAACTTAGTAATAATAAAATAAATAAATAAAATTGGGTTTTATTATTATTATTTTTTTAATTGTCTTTCGTTGTATTTTAAAGGACAAGAAAGATTTCGTTCTATTACAAAGGCGTATTTTCGAAGAGCAGATGGAATCGTTTTGCTTTACGACGTTACCAATGAAAGATCGTTTATCAATATCCGTCAATGGATTTCATCAATTACTGTAAATAATCGAATAATTTAAATATATTTTAGAATAATATTTAGAATAATGATAATAACCAGAAAAGAAAATTTGGAAATTTCTGAAGTTTTTTTTTTTTAAATATTTGTCTGTGTTCAACTCTGACTATATAATCATTAATTGTTCTCTTCGCAAAACTATGTGTAACTTAAAAAAAATACATCCCTTTTACTTGGGTTTTCCATGGCTAATAATAGTGATGATCTACTAATATTTGTTACGCACTTTTTATAAAAAAAAAAAAAAAATGTACATAACATATGTTTACTTTTGGCTCGTTGTCCAATAGTAATAAAAAAATCACGAACAACTTGACCTATTCCTTTATTGAATACATTAGTTGGTCCTATTGTGAAAATGAAAAAAAAAATATTGACCATTAGCGCCATTATGACACGAGTCAACACTGCGATGATGATAATATTTTTATATATTTTATTGCAGGACGTAGCCGATAAACAGTTACCGGTCTGTATTTGCGGAAATAAAGTTGATTTGAGGCGCGAAGCCGAGTTGCAAGGAATAACGTGCGTGTCCACGGACCACGGTGAACTTTTGGCTAAAGACTATAATGCGGTATTTTTCGAAACCAGTTCTAAAATCGGAACGAATATTAACAATGCGCTGGTTACACTATCCAGGTATATAGGTATCCACCTACGTTAGGTACTTGTCTTAAAAATATTGGCAGTTAAAAATGCCCAAGTTAATTATTATTATAACCGATTTATATTAACAAGTACAGATATACTATTACTATAGATCCGTAGATTTATTTAGTTGGCATTTCGTCTCTATTGTCCCTAATACAGAGGTGTGCCCGAACATTTACAAAGGAATGGAATGTGGGTAGTAAATAATAATATCACGGGCAAATCGTAGGATGCCCAAACCAACAGTATGGGAATTTAAAAGCCGAATCTAAAATACCCAAATCTTATTGTTTAATACATCAAACTTTTCCTTATTGTGATCTAACCGAATAAATACTCATAGATGTTGTGTTTTTAAGCCAATTGGAGGGAGGGTATAACCCCTAATTTCCTCCACCATTTGAAATATTATAAATTTTAGATTTTTATAAGTAATAAAAACTAATTGTAAAATGTAAATGTTACGCCACACGCTAATTGTTTATATTCGCATTTATGCGTTCAATTACTGTAAAATATTTAAATGTTTGCAGAGAAATGTTAATCAGGGAAGATGTTGACATCCAAACGTCTGCTTTGTGTGTCGCAGATCAAGACCATCGAAAATTACACGCGTGTTGTTAACGTAGTGACCGTTACAATATTACTATAATATATTTTGTTTAATACGAAAACTCACCATTTATATACTTTAAATAATACTATATAATAATACGCTATACTCATTGAATATTTTGTTTGACATAATCATAAAAAAAAAAAATATATATATATATAATGTCATTTAATAAACCAAGCGTCTTCTATTTTATATAACAACCATATGGAAAACGTAGCTAAACAAACACAAAATAATATATCGATATATCAAAAACGATATAATGTTATAGAAACTCTAGAATTCGAATATTTGTGAAATAGAAAACTGGAAAATAAATAAAGTGATGCAAATAATCGGCTACGAATAAATAAATTATGGAAGATAAATGATTTAGAACCCAATATTTTTGAAATATAAATTATTAGAATGGTAAATACGAAAATAATTAACTATTAGGGTTCCAAAATGTTAGTATTTTAATAAATTAATTTAATTTTTAATTTTTCTCCAATGTATTCTTCTATATTTTTATTTTCTATATTAATAATTTTGTATAGCTTTATTTTCCAATTAAATTAGGTTTCTTTAGGATTTTTGAAAACGATTATTTCCCCAAAAAATTATTTTCTGAATATTTATAATATCCTTGTATAAATTATTTTCCAATGCATTAGTCCATTCCTATAAGTACTGTGAATTATAAAATATTATTCAAAACGTCTCCAATAAGTAAGTAAAAAATGTTTAAATCTAAGCAATAAAAATTGTACCTGACATTTTAAAGGAAATAAGTTGTTAAGCGTTTGTACCTGACATATACAGGCTTTTAAACCCTTGAAGAAAAAACAACTTTGTTAAACATGCTAGCAGAGCTGTTAGTTCTAAGCTTGGAAAAAGTAAAGGGAAATGTTACTAGTTATTAAGTTACTAGAAAAAAAAAAAAAAAAAAAAGGAAGGTCAGAATTCAGATGTAGCTACTTCATTCCAAGTACGGAATCCGGACATAGTTGGTCTACCCCGGAACATAATTCGAACAATTCATCAGCTCGGGATAGAATTCGAGAAAGGATCTCACACTTTAATATTCATAGGTCTCCGTCAATTAAAATTGTAATGATTTTTTTTTATTATTATTTTTATGGTAATAATTTTTGTATTACAACGTAGTTAATTTACCAATTTAATTTTCTTCTAAATTGTTTATTTATAAACAATATATTCAATTGTAAATATTATAAGATGTACCTATACGGTATAGTGTATCCTAAATTACATATGACGTATATCTACAATTATTTATTAGTAGTATTTAAATATTTTTAATAACCCAATTGAGTTTGATAGTATTTATTTATAATATTTATTTTTTTTTATTATTATTTTTACAATTATTTATTTAGTTTGATAAGTAATATCGCATTGACTAATCTATAAGATGATATATTTATATTTTTTTAAAATTATTTACTAATTCCAATATATATCGATATAAATTAAATTCATGTTATATAATATAAATTGCACATGAAATAATGCTAAACATACTTACATCTGAAATTATTTTATTATTAATTTATTTTTTTTAAGGTACTTGCTCTGTCTATTGATTTTAATTGAGAATGGGCGATTTGATACTTCGATAATTTATATCTGTAAGCAATGATAAAGCATTCTAAACGAAATACCCATTATTCGGAGTAAAGTTCGGTATTACATAAGTTTTCCATAAAAATATTTTTAATTAAATTAACAACCAAAAAAAAAAAAATTAAAAATAATAAAATCATTATTTTTACAAATTTTCCCGTTCTTTCTAGTTTATTTTTTCGATTTTCCTCAATTATTAAAAAAAAACTGCTGGGAAGATAAAAAAAACATTTTTCTTAGTCACCAACTAGATTAAGATTTTAACCAAAAAGGTGTCTTGTTATTTTTTCATTGGAGAAATATTTCCAAAACAAAACATTGCCCGTAAAAATTAAATACAATGAAATTGGTAACGCTGCGGTGTGGCGCGCCATAAATATTTTTCGTTTTTCCGATAATTTTTTCCGGTTTTTCCCAATTATTATGAAAACCTCTTAAAAAAATCAAAAAATGACTACCTCGATCGATATGTACTAACTAGATAAAATGTCCTTTCAAATTAGATGCTACACTTGGCACCTATTTGTACACCGGGGCTAGATTTCTGATGGAAAAGTTGTGTACAGGCACAACAAAACAAATTCACATCATAGTAAAACCAATAGATCCCTATGCTCCGAATTTAAAATAAATTAAATTATTTTTTCTACAATACACAGAAAAGGGTTATGCAAAGTCAAATAATTTTTCAAAACAGAAATCGGAAGTCAATTTATTTTACTTCAGCTAATTTGTTAATACAGTATATAGACGTATTTACGTCTTGTGAAAATAACGGTACGCAAGTATCTAAACAATTTCCAAGCACTCCCACTAAATCTGTCGATAGGCCGTCATAATTAATTATACACGTAACGTTAAATAATCGTTAATTGAATAATACAAGTAGGTATAATTACGATTATTATCGGCGGGGTTGTGAAAAAAAAAAAAAAAAAAAAAAAACACACACACATATATATATTTATACATATAAACAATTGGTGAAAATTGGCGTTAAAATATAACTGCAGCAGAATTATAATAATATATAGTCAGAAGACCGGTATAATGCGAATCAACGTCACGTTTGATAATTGAAGGTTAAGAAAAATGTTCCTTTTCCTTATAATCATGATACAAAAACACACCGACTACTATATAGCTGTATAATATATGTGTGTGTGTGTGTGTGTGTGTATATGTATATATATATATATAAATGTGTATGGGTGTTTATTTGGCGGCGGTGGACACAATAATAATAATAATGCACCGCAACAACCCGCGTTTATACACACGATAATTGACCCTGAACCCAGTAATAATTTACCATTAAACTGTAAAAAAAAAAAAAAAATAATAAAATAAAGTAAAACGGTCGGGGTGTATAGGTATTATAGCCAAAACGAATGAGTGTTTTCTATTAAATATATATTACGAATTTATATAGTAAAAACGTTTCGCGTTATACGATTTGCAGATACTCGGGTCGACAGTCGGCGTAAAACACTGCAGTTAACCGCCGCAATAGTGTTCAACAGGACGCGTGTGCATTGAATACTTAACTTTTTAAAAAAAAACAAACAAACAAATAAACAAACAAAAAAACAAAACAAAATCAATCCCGCGAATATTTGTATTCTCGTTTTTGTCACGTTCGCATACTCGAGCGTGGGTGTTCGGCGTGTTTTCGTGTGCGTGTGTGCGTGTACGCGCGTGTTTTCGGTCTGTCGAGTCGTCAACGCGTTCCCGATCGGTCCGTCCGAAAATATAGTAAGTTAATGGTGTCACACTGACATTTATACACATAATCTACCTACAATAATATAGGTAAATATGCTTTCACTGTTTGTAAAAATATCAATACTATCAAAGTATAATATGTACTTATACTTAATTGCGGTTTGCGTAAGTCACGCGCAGGGCCGGATCGATTATTATATACCGGAGAGGCGGACCATACCGCGAGAAATAATAATCTCCGGTGCGTCGTCTCTTCGAGTACAACATTAATTGTATGCATGGGCCGGTCGTGTGTGAATGTGGGCTGATAACACTTTAAAAATGAAAAAAAAAAACAAAAAAACATTGCTTCGTAAGCACGCGAAAATATAATATGTAATGTTATAATTTGTTGGACGGCGCAGAGTAAGCGTGCGGGCTTTTGGAAAAAAAAATAATTTAAAAATGCTGTACTTATAGGTCGCCCTTTGAATCAATCTCGTTCTGATAGGTATGCGATGCATAGGTAAGTTTCGTCCGGGTGCGTTACGGAGAGTAGCCTCAAAACGACACAAATATAATCGACCCTCTAACCTTAGACCGGCCCAGAATATCGTTGAACGGCGAATCCCTTAATTTATGTTTTCCGATATGACATCAAAAGTCACGTTTAAATGCATACAATATAATCTATGCTCGTCGAATTTCAGGATGCTAATATACGAATGACGTTCTCGGCTTTGTTGCACTATGTGTTCACCGAGTGCACCATTCGATTAAATTTTAGCGGCACTGACTGTGCACCTATATAATATTACTGCGAACAGCGTTGCTCGGTGGGTTTCTGCGATTAAGGAATAAAAAATAAAACGATAGATTTAATTTTACACGGTAACATTGTAATTCATAATTTCGTATTCACCATCAAAAATCTACAGAGTTATTGTGCAAGTGTTGCACTCATTTATACTGCAGTTATAGTGCACGTTAATGTAATCGTTAAATCGAAAACGCAACTACATTCTTTACCTTTAACGAAAAATCTTTTTTTTTTTTCAATGAAATTTGTATCCTGTAATACTGTGTACGTGCCATTATTTTTGAAAGAAACTTAAACAATTTAAAACTGTCGGATAGCTTAGTTAATTTAAAAAAAAAAAATTCTAAAATTGTCTAACATTTGGAGAGTAGATCAATTCGGACAGAACTGAATAAAATAAATATATAAGTTTATAATGATAATAATATTTGAATTTTATTTTTCAATAGACAAAAATATTTTTGCTTAAAAATTAAAATTGTTTCAATAAAATGTACTGATGGTAAACGAGTTATGTATTGTTTATACATTTTATATTATTATTGAAATAGCACAATTTATTATGTCGTAAATTGCAAGTGAAGTATAAATTGTCTTTTTCCATTGATCAGTATTAACAATAAACTTAAGAACTGTTTTTGGAAATACTTTAAATAATTAAATTTTTTTTCTCATCTGATTACTCCTTTAATCGATAGTTTCATTAAAGTGAACATAATATGTATTTTTATTTCATTTCTATTAAATTCATAGAGAAATTCTTATTGGAAATGGATATTTGAAAATATATAGGATATTATAAGTCTTAAATCATAGTTTAGGTTCTGAGTGTATTGAAGAAACTATTAGTTTTACTAAAATGTGTTTTTTTCTCGAGAAACTTTTTCGGTTAGCAAAACTTCTCCTTTTTTTTTATGACATACCTCTAGGGATGCAGATTCTTTGCCTAATGTGATATTTTTTCTAAATAATTTTTTTTTTAAAAAAAACGAATCACAATTGTCGATACATTAGTTTTACTTTTGTTGATTTCTAGATCACCTCTTGCTACAAGTGGAAAATCACGAGAATCATTATTAAATTAACCATACACGTCCGTACCAGTTGACATTTTAACGAGTTTTCCGCTCAGAATCGTTTTTAATTGCAACGACTTATCATCGCTATCAGTATAACATAAATTAATCGCCTCGCATCTCATATGGATCCACCTGCAAAACTCTCACCTGCAACAGCAGCCTATCCATAATGTGAAATATAAACTGCTTTATTATTATTGTCGTTATATAACGTATTCGCCGCAGTATAATAGATACGGTGTATTCAGCTATTTCTATTTTGATGAGTATTTTCGCTCGTTTTGACAAATCGCCGCCGACCTTATAAATTCACATATCTATATTTGAACATCGTAATATATAGATAAAAAAAAATAAAATAGGATCCGACCTCGTATGATCGTCTGGCCTTAATGTGTTGTGATTCTGTTTGATTTATACACAATAGAGAAAGAGAGAGAGAGAGAGAGAGAGAGAGAGAGAGAGAGACAAAGATAGAACACAACCTCGTCTAACAATCATTTTTCTTTTTTCGTAACTCGTTCTTGACGTGTTCGTCTAGAATTATTTCCCTAAACATTCGATTATTTTTTTCTTTCATTGATTTCGTTTTTTGTTTTTTTTTTTTTTTTTTTTTTTTTGTTTTTTTAAGGACGTAGTGATGTTGTCGTAAACACATATAATAATATATAATAGACAACACATTACGCACGCTAATAATTTTACTCCAAAACGGTTTTATTCCATTGACCGAATTAAATGTACACACATAGTTTACGTATCATATAATATACTATTAATATCATGTACCTTTATTTCAGTACTTACATGGTCAATATATTTTAAGATTCGATTGATGTTAAACGCGAACAAGACATACTGATTTACACAAAACACATCAACAGGTATTGTATCAATAGGCACAATAGACAATCCTCTGATTATTATTCCGTAGACTTAACGTTATATAGGTTTTCATTTTGTGTTGCGTACAGAGAATAATAATATTGCCTGTCCATCTATAATAATAATCGGTAGAATCCTCGATTTACGATTTACGAACATTTAAATTATAAATTGCGTATTACACGAGCGCCGAATAAAAACTAAAAAACGTTTTGAAAATATATAATCATATGCGCAGTAAATCATATAAGTAAAACTCGTAGACGTCGCGGTATAAATATTTTATACAAACGTATATTATACAGCGTTCGACCGAGGCGTTTATCCGTTATCATAGACGGGAAATACGCAAGTCATAGTTCGATTCCCATAAAATGATCTAATAAGTTTTTATTATTATTTTTTTTTTTTTTTTTTTTACATTAGATGGTTCATAGGTATTTCGGCGTTTACTAGATGAAGATTTATTTTAAACGAATTTCAAATCTCCTAAAATACCATTTTTTTTATATTTTTTTACCTTATACCATTTTTAGCGGTGAATTATTTTAAACAGCAAATAGAACGCATTATTGAAATATTATAAACGTTTAACATTTTAAATTTGTCGAATGTGAAGAAAATATTTTATTAACATGAGGCATATTAATAACGCCTAAAACATATATTTTTTGCAATGAAATGTTGGCCGTTCAGATGTTTAAAAAATATTATTTTTTTACATTCTTTTGAAACACATTATTTAAATGCGTATGGGCGCGTATAAATAACTTGTTAACACATAATTTATTTTGCTATACGGGTGAATTGAGAATAAACACTGGCGATTGTTTAACCTGACCTAACCTCGAACGAATACCAATAATAAAATATAATAGGTAATGAATTCCAATAAAATAGGTACAATATATAATATTAAACGCTAGTTATTTAGTTTATATATATTTTTCAATAAACGCGTAATAATATTGTGCAGACACGCGCGTTTCAGCATTTAGAACAATTATTCCTGCATAATCATAATTCATTATACGCGTGTTTTTCGCGAATAATCAATAAATCTTCAACTTTTAAGTTGACAGTGGAGATCGGATCTATTTTCTCTTATAATCCACAAAAAGGCACTTTAAAACATCAAAAAATCTCTGAAAAAATCATTGACGAACATTTAAAAAGGCAAAAAAATTGTGGAGTCTAAAAGTCTCCTCCACCAATGGCTCTAACTTATTAAATTAAATTTCCTAACATTACACAATTGATTCATACAAAATAATTTCTTTTAAATAAAATTGTATGTATTATAAAAAAAATTACTTTTCATTTATCATTTATAAGGTTTTGGACAATTTTATTTATAAATTAAATCCATTAGAGGAGCACTATTAAACCTTTCTATTATTTTTGCGTTTTTATACACTGTTTAAGTGATTTTTTTTTTTCCGAGGTTTCTTGACTGTTTCAAATGATTTTTTTGTAGACTTTAAGAACATATATAAATCCGGTCTCTAAAAATAAATAATACAAATAATAAGTAACACCCAAAACGTTTATTGTATTATGTGTTATTGGGTTTCGAATATTTATTTAAAATCGGTTATGTGATTATTTCATCAAATTTCCTCAAATCACTTTATTATGCTACCATATACATAAATCATAGATAACGCACGTTTGCGAACGGTGATACGGTTGAAAAATGAATTGCACACTTCGTATATTTATATTAGACACCATCATCGTCTTCGAGCAGATTTTTATTAATTTAACCGTCAAAACGCCATCGTTCATTTCCGAAAGATAATTTTAATCGAACGGCAGTGCGAAGAAATGATTAATTGACTTTGATTTAAAATATAAATAAATATTGATTTTATATTATAATTGATGTATTAATCGATGTAGACAAATATTTTTAAATGCATTTGCATACTTGTATTAGTCGATTAAAAAACAGCTAGCTGGTTCATACCACAATATTGTGTTTCACTGCGGCCTAAAGATTCTGTAAATTATACAACCTTTTTATTTTGTATATTTTAATATGTTGAACGTTTAAAGAGTGTGTTTAAGAATTTAAGGATTTCGATCATGTTTAAGACATTTTCAACTCAACGAATCGAGAACCACAAAATAATTTGGCGTTTAAATACTAAAGAAAATAACTGCTTGCATAATGTCGCTCGGTAAATTAAATTAATTAATATTTAAATCAAATTTAATTTTTTTTTATCTTAGAATATCTTTGAATTTTGTTGGGATCAACTACAATAATTTTGAACTAATAAATATAATAAAATAAAAATTAAGAATTTCCATTTTTTTTTTAGAGCATATTTTAGTATTTTTAATACATACCTATGTCTACAATTACATTTAAATGGTTTGGGTCATTGGCCTTATAATTCTATATTATAATATTTGAATGCCTATAATAAACACTATAACGCTATGCTTATAGTAATTTAAAAAAAATGTCGAATAAACTAATGAAAATAAGCGCTAATTTTTCACAAGTAGAAATATTATATTATTAGTTTAAAATTTGCTCACTTAAAACTTTATACAGATTGTCTCACGAAGACATGTACCCATTTTAATATCTCATTTTTATTTTATTTTTTTTTTTTGAAAATTTAAGGAACAAACGGCTCTAGTATGGTATATTTTCATTATTTTTTGTCGCTTTTATTTTTGAGTGTAAAACGAAAAATTAGTTTTGTATTCCAAAAGGCAACCTTTTAATATATGTTTAATTTAGGTTCACGGGTTGTCGGAAGTCAAACGTATCGAAATGTATTTAAACTAATACTCCGTCCATTTATGAAATTAGTTTGAAATTTTTAAATCGTCGTTTTACCATAGAAATTAAGAGTGATCAAATGTAAACAGTGAAAATGTAACATTTTATAGTAACTTCTTTCTGAAAGTGTCAAAAACTAAAACTTTCAGATACATCGCAACGGGTATATTATTGTCGTGGAACACTCTGTATACACATTTCATTTAGTACCTACAAGATAAGCTTATTCTATTTGCAATAGCTTCGCCTCTGGTTTCGACTTTGAACTCTTATCTGTACATTATTTCCCGAACACGAACACATATTTAAATGTAATATTATAATATTATCATTACAAACCAGATTCATAATTCTACAACAGCACATCAATCTGATGTAATTATTTTCATCAATCACCTACCTATACGGAAAAAAAAAAAAAACGTTCGAATAAAGTCCGTCGATACAAAACAGTTATTAATTCGTCGATGATAATTTCGATTGAATGGCGCATTGAACGGGTGCCGACGTGCCTAAACACATTAAATTATTAATTAATTTATTGTATTATAATATTATTTTGTAATACAATTGTATACCCCATTCAGATAATTTTAATGTTTAATTGGATGCAAATATTATAAAATGCATACGTGTTAAAGGTTATAGGTTCGGTTATTTAGGATTCTCGCGCTCTAACTCTCAGACGATTGCGAATTTCGGAATGTGGTTTTCACTAAAAGATTTGTTTTGTTTGACTGTAAGCATACGAATGAAGTTTCAATTGACTTGCAGCCCATTTTTGTAAAAAAAAAAAAAAAAATCACCAGAAGGCTACTGTATATAATAATCATACTATTTATGTAGGACTAATTATTTGTTTAAAGTGAAAAAAATTGCAGCGGCTAAACAAATATTTATAACATCATAATATTGTTAAAATTCTTATAAAAAGATAAATGGGTTGTTAATATAATATTGTAAGACAAATATATTAGTCAACGGTTTACAACATGTACATAAAACAGGGATTGTTTAACACAATGTGGTTTTACGCTACTTTGGTACCTACTCCAAATCTTATCGGAATATATTTGGTTTACCTCTGAATCTGCATTAATATTATATTATTATGGTACGTTACATGTTTTGTCTGTCTTGTAAAATGTAAAAAAAAAATGAAAACAGTACAAGTACACAGATCAGTAGTGGTGCGTTTGTATTGAAAACCGTACACGTTCATAAGGAGATTTTTTTTTATTCATTATGTAATATAAACATTTACATAATTTGATGAGTTGTCTGGTCGATTATATTATGATAACATGTATAACATATATGGTAAGCATAGTGTACTGTTTCATAACGTCATGAATAAAACGAAATACGAACATTTTTAGTTCAACCACTATATTATAATACCACTAAATTATATTTTACTACCCACTATATTATAGTATATGGTGTTTTAAATTTCAATAGTTTTTTTTGTTTTTGAACTTTTTAGGTCGTACTGTCCATTGAAAAAAAAATTTTTTTTGTAGAGCATATTCTATTGTTTTAACATCTGTACGCATTTATAGATTCGTAATAATCGTAACATAGATATTATTATTGTTACTATTATAGCCCGATGAGTATAATACTGAATAACGCATAAAACATTATCGTGTCGTTCTACACAATTGTTTGATAAAATGTACGAGTTAAGACAAATAAAATATGTAAAGTACATAATTCATATAGTAGGTATCGTTTACGATTTATGAAAAATGCATTTATATCAGCTAAGCCAACATTAAAATTAATATTGTTATTATTGTACGGCTTACTTATTTTGCAAAACGGGTTTGACATAAATTTTGAAAATTCGTAATTTATTTATTCTGGATGTTTAATCATATTTTTTTGGTGTTCGTGGCGTAATTATGAAGGGAAGGAGATATAGAAAAGTAAATATAACAATGTAATATTGTATTTTAGTTCCTGTTATCTGTAAACGTGCAATATTTTTTAAAATACAAATTGCATTTTTTAATAAGTTTTATTGTTATCTATCAATATTATCACTAGTCATAAAAGTGAGGACATTGTTAAAGTAGATAACCGCCCAAATTATCTGTTTAAACATCTCAACCTCAAATGCGGTTTAAGACTTCAATACAAACGGCAGATTAAATTTAAACAGTTAACAGTCAGAGCTAAAAAATGGAGTTTTTTTGGTAATTCTTGTTTATCTACTCACATATACTACTAGTGAGGGTAAAGTAACGTGATTTTAGAAATTATACACCCACCCCCTTCTTTAGAACAAATTTCTAATTACGCCACTAGTTGGTGTACCTATAAGTGCTTTTATTAATATTATTTTGATTTAAGCGTATTTGTTGTGTATAACAAAAAATTGCTTATTGCCTAATGCAAAAGGCAGTGGATCAGAAATCAATTTCAACTTATACAATAGAATCTACTTAATGGAGACACCGCATTAAGGGGGACAATCGCTTAATGGAGAAAAATTGACCGAATCCCTAACGAATGTATTCTTTTTGGGCAATTCAACTTCGTTTATTGGGAACAAATTATCGATTATATTCCTTATAAAGGGACACAGCCTATTCTACATGTACCTACTTTCTTATCGAAACTATAATTATCTAATCTGTATGTCTCTATTAAATTGTATAGTTTACGTATTTTACTTTTGTACATAATTTCTTTTTTTCCTACTATATCACTCATCGATAAGCTTTACATTATTTCGTCTCTGTGTAATAACATACGTCTGTTTTTATTAATCCCAGTTTGTGTGAACACGTGGTAATAATATCTCGTAAAGATTTAACGTTGGTTGAATAAATGTCTATACTGGATAATATAAAAGCTCAAGGCTGAAATGAAGAGTACAAGGAAAAAAACAGAAAAGTCACTTTTTTCCAAAATGGCGATAGCAATATCAAATAGTTTGTACTGACGTGCCGTATTTTTTATACGATTGAAACGGCTAAAAACCAAGATTAATCGAAAGTAATGAACAACAGAAGTTTATGTCTACAGGAAAAAAAAACAGATAGTCAATTTATAAACAGGTAAGTTATGGGTTAATACATTTCAAATTTTCACGTTAAACTTAATCCGAACTTTTTAAATTCTAAAAAAAAGTGACTTTTGTGGTTTTTTCCCTGTACTTACTCTTCAAAAACTAGTTTAATACACATGTCTAAATCGGTAACTAGCCAATTGAAAAAAAATGAAGAAACTATTCGTTAACTAATCTAACCTAATAGTGGGGAAAACTAAACGACAACAAAAAATGGAATTATTCGGTCAATCCAGGACAGTCGGAAAATGGAGGACAAATAAATTACCACTGTATGCGTCCCCATTAAGCGAATTTTATTATATTACTTATATTAGTTATATTATAGTATTATAAAATTGTATTCGATATTCTTTCACCGTGATATTCACAAACCAGAGAAAATGCTACCGTTTTTCGATGTTTTCCACTTTAAAAAACTACAAGGATATATCAATCACTATTATTTCCAATACTTGCCACCGTATTTTGAACATGTAGGTTTCGACGTCACTGGCAAAAGGATTATAGATAAATTGAAATGTGGGTACTAAAAAAATGCAATTATTTACTCACACTAACCGCACTATAGTTTTACGACTAACGTTTTAATGCATAAAAGTATTTGGTTGTCGAATAAATTGCCTATTCGGAACTCCCGAAAAAAAAAAAAAAAAGAAGCGAATAGTGAATAGAATATCATGGAAAATAATATATTAAATCACACAGCGGCGGTACATTTTATTGTACTATTATTCAACCAATATAAATCACCGAGATAAATAACAACGAGGCCGAAAATATACTTAATAGTTTCTCGGATGTGGAGAGCTATGAGAGGGAGGATTAGAAAATTCCACGGTACGTTTTACGATTATAATATTCTGAATATCACATCATTCACATACACCGTAATAATAATATCCGCCTATATTATTATTGTACTAAAATAATAGATTTCGATTTCAGGAATTAATCATGAATCCATAACCGTCAGTTTATTACAATATAAAACCAATAAAATAACCGTCCACAGATAATAATATTTGACAGCTTTGATCGACATGATACACATAAAACGAAAAGAGCTGATACTGTTGACGGGTGCGCCACTGTTGTAGGTGATAAGTTGAGGAAGTAGGGCACATAAAGTTATTATATTTCTATCTGTAAGCAACGATAAACCATTGCTAACAAAATACGATTATGAGCGGAGTTCAGTTATATATGTTTTGAAATACCGTAATATTTACGGTTTTCTTCAAAATTTGGTCTTAAAATATTTTTAAAACAGTCCGCTACGTTGCATTCAAATTTGTTTTACCAACTAAATAGAACTTATAATGAACTTCATATTAAATTTGTAAGTATTTCTATTTGGACGAATAATTTTACCAGATAATACCGACCAAAAAAAAAACTGAAAAAAGTGTTACTGTTTTGGATGGGAAGTTGGTAAGATAAGATAATATATAATAAATGGTAATTTAATCTATATCAAACAAGAAAACATCATAGATAACGGAAAAAAATTCTCAGCAAAGTTCGGTTAAACATTAATATTTAAGTTTTTTTTTAAAATGTGAACTTAAAAAGCTTATGATAAAAAAACCACTTTATATTTATACTACGTTTAACATTTTTTACCACTAAATACAACTTATAATGTACTTCAAGGTAAATTGTCGAGCATTTTGCCGGTTCAAAATAATTGTATCCAAAGAAAAATTAAAAATCTTGAAAATTACAAATAGCTACAAATAATGGCTCAAAATCGCCAAAATATTTTTGAAGTTGTATCGCGTCTAGAAAGAGCTAATATAACTGTTCTATAAAAATGTTTGTACTCTATGATTAGTTTTAACTGAATAACAACAATAAAATAAAATCGAAAATATACGCTTTACATTTTGTATTTCGTGCCCTAGTGGCATAAATAAATAAATAATTACAGAAACCGTTGGGGCGTAAATTTTTCTGTTATGAAATATACTAAAAAGAAAATCTAAAAATGACTTTCTAATGCACTAATTCTAGACAACATTTCCTACCAGAAAAAAATATTGTTCACAGAGAGAAAACGAATTAAAAGCTCACATCATAATTAAACCATAATACATTCCTCGTTTCGCTCAAAATCTAAAAATGATATGGACGTTAGATTTGAACGTGTACCATTGTATTATAATATTTTATACATTCAAAATTCATGTATTTATTATGAATATACTTTAATTTTCTTGTCAATACACATTATTATATAGGTGATTTTTATACCGCGGTCCATCAGTTTTCTTGACACATTTTAAGTACCTAAATTAAATTTATGGTTTTGCAATTATTATAAAATTATTTAAGCGTAACACTTATATTTTTTGAAATTTATTCTTCTACTCCGTGTAACTGAAATAAGTATTAACTTTTTATTTTCAAATAACAATGCCCCTTCCTTTTTGAACACAAATTCGAAAATCTAATATTTGTAAAAAAAAAAAAAAAAAACATATTGGGTAACAACTAATAGTTAATGGATCATGATATAAAATAATTACTCTGTATACGTACATCAAAAATTTAAAAATTATTTCATGCCATTTTTCTAAAAAGTTTTAAACAATTTCACTTTGTTTTGTATCGAAAATGAATAGAAATTTTATGTTTACATAAAAATTTAAAAGTACAGCATAGGTAATTTGAATAATAATCCTGCCAAATTGTCGATAATTCAAGTGGGTCTATCCCGGTGGTTCCCCTCTTTCTATTTACGGTTTACACTCGAGTAGTGCAGATATAAATTATAACATAAGTAGACTTTTATTACGCGTAAAATATTTATAACATTAAAACCGGCCGGTTATTTTAAATGCGTTTTTGAATATAAATTACAATAAGAAACCAATTAACTATCGAGAGTGAATGAAGAGTATATATTATACGTGATTAATGTTCAAGAAAAATAATTGATGTTAAAAAATATATATATATATATATACAAAAAGGATTTAGACTTTGCATCTGCGGGGTAGTCCACGATTTTTTTTTTCATGGTGGACACGAAAGGGCGGAATCCAATATATTATTATTGTACTTTTTTTTTCTTTTTTTTTAAGTGCTGAGTCATTGCGTTTGAGCGATTGTCGTGACGTCGGAAACTGTAGTACGCGAGACGATTTGAAAAACGATCCCGTTCAAGTATACAGTATTTAGGTAGGTGGTACTTCCGTTTACATTATTACACTTAGATGTCTAAAAAGTTACCGAATGAAATTTTTTGACTAATTTGTACGGTCCCGAAAGATTTTTCCGGGAAAAATATATATAACTCGCATCGTTATGCATAAAACGGCTTCATATATATTAATTTGTACAAAAACTAAAATGATATGAGTAACAGTATAAATTATTACAACACAATCAAATCCGGTCGTATATGCGTAGCCATAAAATTCCAATAACGTTCAATTATCACTGTAATACTGTTTGTACAGTTAATAATGTAAAAGAGATGATTTTATACGGTTAAATTTTCAATTTGTAACCAGAGTTTATATAAATTATGATTCTTTTTTTATTTTGAATAAAAAAATAAAATAATTTTAGTTTTTGTTTAAAACAGTTTTTTCTTGATTTCTTAAAAATGTTTATAACAGTTTTTTTTTTTTAAATAAATTTATGTTTTAATGATTTAAAATCAATAGGGATGACATTCCGCTCCATAACGTAGAGTTTGAGGCCTACCCCATTTTTGAATCCGTAAGTGTGGTTTAAACCTAATATTTTCCAAAAATCTCAGAGATAATCGCCTCTCAAATAGGTATTGACCACGTCACTGGCGATATTTTCCCCATAAAATCATAAATATTAAATGACGTAATAAAAATGGGCTGATACTCCTGATGGGCGTGTCATTGTTTTAGGAGAGAAGTTGAAAGGGAGGATACATAGAGTAATTTGATTTATATCTGTACGCTAACAAAAAAGATTCTGAGCAGAGATTTGTATTCGTCGTATTTTACTTAGGCAATCCGAAACTAAAAAAATTTAACGACTTTTAACATTTCACGTTTATTAAAAAAACTACAAGGGAAATAAAAAAAATGACCACTTCAATAAGCCAACTAAATTAAAAATGCTACAAGAAAGTTAAACAATTATTTACAGATGTAAAAAAAAAAATCGCTGATCATAACAAAACCAATACATTTCCCACTCAGTCTAAAAAGGAATTTTTAAAAGTAGTAATTAATTTTATTTATAAATAGTATTGATAAATTAAAAAATTTAATGTATTTTTAATGTTTAAAATAGCTGTTTTTTGTATGCTCTTTAACAAATTATTTTTAAAATTGTTGTTTAAAACCACTTTGAATAATTTATAGTTTGTTAATATAATTTTTTAATCATGAGTTTAAAACAAAATGGTTTGATAATATCAGCCCTGTTTATGACATAAATAGGACCTAACGAAAAAAAACAAATTAATTCAAATATTGCGAAAATGTTATAATTTAAAATTAGCCCAGCTGATTTAATTTGTTAGAACTTTTTTGACATTTATTATTATAACATGATTATATTCGCTTAAAAAAAAATCCCCGTGGACTATTCGAATTAAATTTACCTAACAAGTAGATTTTACGAAATCATTTAAAAGGAAAACTGCTAAATGTTTCTATACATATAAAAAAAAAAAACGCATAGGCATTATAATAATTGATGATGCGTAGAATTTGTTTTTTAAATAGGAGTTTTTTTGTATGCTTGAAACAAATACGGGATATTTATCTGCGCCCGTTTCATTTATTTATCTATCCGATTCAACTGCAAGGGCACAGTATAATAAAGAATGATACTGTATAGGAAAACTTCGCTGCATTTACATTATTTTTTTCACTGCGGTTAAATTAAATTCAGGCACCCAAAAAATGTGACTGATAACAATAAAACGGTTTTCGTGTAATATACGAGCGCTACGAAAATTGTATCGTTTGTGTATACTATGACCGTTGTATTTTTCATAGTGGTCGTCACAAAGTTAGTCAGAATTCAAATTTCATACGGTCAAAAATAGAGGTTCCAATATTTACATTAAGATATAATATTAAAAAAAGCCGTCCTAGGATATCAGGACGGATGCAGCCACTGTTATAGGTGTGAAGTTGGGAAGGTAGTAGAGAGGAAATTTAAGGTATATCTGTAAGTGATGATAAACCGTTGCTAACGAAAAAACGATTCTGAGCGGAGTTTGGTTGATAGTGTTGCTTTGTCAATAATATATATGTCATATAATGATAAAGTAATTATATATGCATTACATTTTTTCTTTTATAATGTTTGTTTAATATTGTACCTATTTTCCTGTTTTTTCTACGTTTTACTGGTTTTTCCCATTAATTGGAAAGCTCTCAGAAGAATTAAAACATGATCTCCTTATAGTACCATCCCAGTCAGATTTCCTTTCAGAAAAAGTGCTATCATCGTAAATCGAAGCGAAATTGCTGGTAGAAAAGTTGTTTGTATATAAAAATAAAGTAAATGAAAAAAAATAAACATCATTGTAAAACCAATACATTCCTCGCTGCACTCAGAATCTAAAATAACATACAATATTAGTTGTGAATGATGATATGCTTAGGGTGGATATCCAAAGCCCCTAAGGGTGGGTAAATACTTTTTGTTCTATCCGGCTAAACTTATATCTAAATTGTCTATAAATGATTTAATTTTCCTACAAACATAAATCGGATAACTCTATTAGGGACATTTAGTGGCCGATGAAATCACTGTTGTCTAATAAAATGTCGATAAATATCGAGTTATCATGTAAGCGCCCTTTAGGGATTAAAATCGGGGACGAAATATTAACAGTGACTTTCCCTTGGTGTCGAAGATAAAGTTCACCAAATATTTCACCAAGATTAGAAAAAAAAAAAGCCAGTAGATTTGTATAAAAAACAAACCAATAAACAGTTCAAATTTATGCACCTAATAATGAAACAATAAATTACTTTTATTATGTCCCTAGTAAATATCTATTTACTAAAAAAAAATTTGATGGTCTCCTACTTAGTGTTAATTGTATCTGTTTAGAATGGAATTCTGGCCATTCTAACCTTGCTCGATTAATCGATAATATCGATGTTTCAATCTCGTAACCATAATTTCACTGTAATATTACCTTAAAATATTTTAATTTTAATTTTAGATTTTCGATCTATATGTTCGATATTGTTGATAGTGTCCCCCATTCACTGATTGCATTAATCAATCAATAGTTTAGAAACTATCGATTAACTGAGTACAATTGATTATTTTACGACAGTCGAGCAATAGCCGCTCTAGAGACAAGATAACGTTCGGTGGGGGAGGGATGATTATGCAAATTCATATAAAGCACACATTTATGGATGTGTTGGATGACGAACGTAGCTAAACGTATATCGGGGTTAATGGTATACTGGAGAGCGAACAAGGGAGGGCCGATCGTCCACATAGCCCGGCTACATAGTCACTGCTGTCGAATATACTAACGACTAGCGAATAGCGCAGGCCTGCTGTGCGTCGTCGATAAACGAGAGTTTTATCCCAACTGTCAGTGGCGTGGCGTTCATATAGGCAATGCAGGTGTTGCTTACAATTTCAGTTAAAAAAATATTATGAGTATATTTTTAAACGAACAATTTAAGCCATGGTCGAGTTCTAACAATGCACAGTTAGTTATGTGTTACATTTTGAAATTTCGAAACAGTACAAGGATATGGCATATTATAATTTATAAGTAACATTCGAATTCGTTCGTCGACCGATTATCGTGGATATATCAATAGCATATAACGGTGCTGTTTTACTATATTACGCTATCAGCGTTGGTGCGTTGATCACACACGACCGTGCCATTATATTGAAACTCTCATTAGCCATCTTCGCTCGTTGATTTTGAACAGTTAAATGTACATTATTACTACTCGATGGCGTTTATTTAAGAGCTACGGTTAATTATTGAAAATCATTTTCGACAAATTTGTATTGAATAAACAATTTCGAGCGGCTCTCTAGGGGTACAGTAAAATTAGACGGAGGTATGGGTATCCAGGTATAATATTTTTGGCGGTTGCTTACGCCACTGCTGACCGCATCGCGTCACGCCACGCCACTGCCTACTGTATTATTCGTTATTATGTATCGTGTGCCGCAGGTAATCCGATATAATGACAAAAGTTTCGACGGCGTCCAACAAATCGCTTCACCTGACCGGCATCGGTTTGGCGGTGCAAGCGTTCTACATAAACCTGACTCTGGACACGGTGATGGGCGGCGATCTGATACAGCTGAAGCCGGCCGGTCCACCGGTCATCAACCCGGCGGGCGTCTGGACCGTGGACCAAGCGCCGCAGGGATACGTGGCGGCCGGCAGCGCGCCGCAGGGATACGCGACGGCCGGCAGTAATTTGGCGTTGAACGGGCTGCAGGCATTACAGGCGTTCGGCGGTAACAAACTGGACGCGAACGGGTACCGGGATCAGAACGGCTATTACCGCGACAACAACGGCGCCCTGAACGGATATGACGTCGGCAACACTTACGGCGGTTGGTCTCGCGTATTACATACTTGGGCTGGGTTGCATAAACGTCCATTAGCGATTTACAGAGCCTTTAATTCACCAGTGGCCCGTTAAAAAAAAAAAAAAAAAAAAAAAATGATGTACGTGTTGCTTAAACGCTGTAGCGTTAACGGGTCTGTAATTTCTTGGCTACTGTACTTAGAGGACCGATTTCGTGTCTGTCACTACTTACACGTTCGTTATTCGAATAGTGATAAGAATTATAATTTCTCTCTAAAAAATATTCTATTCCCAGTTTCTGAACCATTACTATTGTACAGCTTGGTTATTTCCTCCCAAGAAAGTGTTTTTTTTTTTGTTGAAATTAATATAATCAGTCTTAAATTCATATACATTTTTACCTTGCCAAGCCTATTGTAATTTATAATTACGTTAATCTGTCAAACACATACCTATTAATATTTTAAATTATGGCCTTTTATGGAATTATCAATTCCATTAATTCCGCTTTTTCCAGTTCAGTAAAGTCTTTCTGTTTTACTCTTTTATGAGTCATCGTCAAAGATCAAACAAATATTATAATATAAATTGTGGTTCGAATACTTTTTCCAAATATTTATTTATTATTAATTGCCAGATAATGTAATCAGTAATCATTGTAATCCAATGAAATGCGAAATAATTCATTTGGTAACCACGGTTATCAATAAAATACAAATCATTTATGCAACTCAATTTTTTTTTTATGCGCCATTAAAACATTACGGGCTTGATTAGTTACAGGCTTGTTAGTAAAGTTACAGAATGATCTTTATGTAACTCACCCTTACAGCTGGCGGTATTGCTTCGATAATACTCCGGTTTTAAGGTTAATACCACGGTATCTGGGTATTTTCTATTTGTATCCAAGATACCGGTATTTTCGATATTTTCAGTTATTCGGTTTTATCGGTGCTTACCCATAACAATTTAACAAAACTCCGACAGGCTGATATTATGCCCATATTGCAACTTAATTATTAAGAGGACGTTCAATCGGCATCAAATGTCTCAGCTCAACTACCGGGTAACATGGTAAAAACAATGCTTACGCAGAACAAGTAAAATTATCTTTTATGATATTTATAGAGAGCAATATTTCGGAAGGAATGCCATAGGTGTTTTCGTACTATTAAAATATACAGCTCGATATAAAAGTTACCTGTTTTTATTTTTTAAATAACTGTAACTTTTTTAATCGTTCATAATCCAAAAACATCTATATGACATTCCCCCCAAAATATTGTTCTCTATAAATTGTATAATAGGAAATTTTATTTTAAAATCAAAATCAAGCCGGTTTTACTTATTCTGCGTAAACATTGGTTTTGCATACTAACCGGTATAGTTGGACTGAGACAGTAAATGTGGGTATAACGTCTTCTTAACTAACAGACCTCACTATAGAGTTACTTTATCCATTTTAACGAAAATAAAACAAAATAATCAAACATTTTTATAGTAATGTGAATTACGTCGAGTAAAATGTTTAAACCGTTCACGGCCACGACTATGTAATAACAAATAACACTAAAACTCTAGATTTGAAAAATGTACCGAACTTTGATGGAACAATCAAACTTGATCAGCGCGCGTTCCAACGATAAATCGATAACGAGTTAAAAAGTCCCGATGAAAGTTATTGCCGAAATACTATAAAGACCAACGAATAAATTACATAAATACGGTAAAAGGCGTTTATTAAGAACACGGATAATTGATACAATTGCGTTATTGAAACAAAATGTACAGGGACGGACCGGTCGTGTATCAAATCAATTGTATTTCGAAACCAATCGTTTATTAGAAACAATCGGTTAATTGACACGTTTCCACCTTCTACTGTAAACAATATCCGTTCCGTTTGGTGGGTAAACCGAATAACCGAAATCACCAAATAATGGTAATAACCGAATAACTAATTTTCGTTGTACCGGAAATACCGCCAGTCCCGTTTCGTACTTACGCATTTTCGTCGAATTTTCCCCGAAATAGAGACTGTTGCGCTGTATTATTTCGTTTATATACAGGGTGTAAACACGGAAATCTACCATTTGGAAAGTTTTTTGTTCTGTTCAATATTTTTTTAAGAAATATTTCCTCTGAACCACGGTTAAGTTAGGATACATTTTTTTTTTTTTTTAGGAGAGGGGGGTGTTTAAATAAAAAAATTCAAATTTTACTACAATCGTTTTAAAAAAAATTTCTTAATAGCCATTTTGTAAAATAGATTTTTAGACAATTTTCAGTGGTTGAAACATTTATACAAATATGGACAATCATATTATAAAATGTTTTGAAGTTTTTGCAAATGTTAATTATACAATTTTAAATTGTTTATTTTTTAACTCCCTTCTCCTCCTAATAAAAAATTGTCATATATTAACTGTTGCACAAACGCGTTCTAATTATTCAAGAAAAATATACGAGCAACGAGTTTATTAAAAATATTAAATAGAACAAAATCCCGGTACATTTCGACATTTAGCGGCTCTCTCTGAACCAAAAAACCTCAAACTCGAGAATTAGAGTGATTTGTAGACCGATTGAAATGATAAAATGTTAGTTAAATTTCAATATGAACTTACGAAGCTTCAATAAAAAGCTGTGCACACCCCTATAGGTATATATGGATATGTATATTCATGACATAAGCATCAATAAGAATGTGTCTTTTGGCGGTTTTAACGCCTAACCCCCACCCAAACAGTTTTATGCTCAGATTTCACGTTTTCGCATGAAATAACGGGTTTTAAATACTCGTACAGACTCATTGAAGTAAGTAATTTGATTTAAATTAATATATTTAAATATTAAAATTCATTGTCGTCAAGGCGTGTGCGTTTAAAAGGTTTGAACCCCACCGTCTGTTTACACGTTAGCAAAAATCACGATAAAAAATATTACTTTACTTATTTTTATAAAACTGTTTTTGTTCAATTGCTTATCATTAAAAAAAAAAAAAAACCTTTATGAAATATTGTAACAGCCATAAGTCGGCTGAGGGGAAAATTCGACTGTATAGTGACGGAGCTCTGTTGTTCGCGTGTTTTATTATTAATCCAGGGCTATGAATTTAATGTATTTGCATGTCTCTTTCGCTAAACCGTACAAGAAAATAGATTCAGCCGGAATTTGTTTTGGCTTATCCTTAGTTAAAATACGAAATCTTGCGTATATAACAAGTTGGGACGCATAAATGCATGTTTTCACGATTTGTTCGTATTAATGTTTTTTTTCATATATTTTTCCGGTCAATCTGATGTAGATAAAATCGGTTTAAATTTTTTTGTTTATAATAATACGTCTTTCATAGTTTCAATTAAAATATTCTACTTTTAGTCAAGTTTTCAATTTAAATAAATTGATACCCGATAATATAAAATCAGGATTGTTCCGATATATCCACAAAATATGTCTATGGTACTATCGTTATGTTTTAAAAAAAACGTTTACGTAATAAGAGCGGTATTTTTTTAATATGGACAGTGCACATTTAAGCATATTTTCCGTGTATATTTCGTCCGTTCATAAATGCATGCGCATTCAACACTCTTTCGGTGTATTGAATTCGCAGCCCTGGTTATCACAACGATTATTACAGAAAAATCGATAAACAAAAATGCCTACACGAAACATAAAATATTATAATTGTTAAATAACTCAAGGTGTCAACGATCGCGGAGTGACGAGCGTGGAAGGCGGAGCGTACGGCGGTATTAACGGGCGGAACAAGGGACACCAGGTGGCCGGGTTCAGCACTTCGTACCAGAAGAACGAGAGCGGCAACAAAGCCACGTACTATGACGACGGTCTCGGACACGGCGGAGTGATCCAATACGGCGCGAAAGATCAGAGGTAATTGTCGCATGATAAGATTGTATTATAGGGGGGGTATAGCTGCAACGCGGAGAAGTTACACAGGGCAGGGGGAAGAAGCGGGTTACGAATAAAGTTAAAAAAAAAAGAAAAAAAGTAATTGTAGCGTATGGTCACTTACTTACTTACTAGAAATCGCTCGTGGCTTAACGTTGTGCATAATTATCGCGGCTATACGCTATAACGAGTAACGTTTTTTTCTCCGATTGAGATTGAGAAAAAAAAACGATCGGCGGAAATATACGTTTAAAACGTCGCCCGGAAAAATCAATTATTTTCGTTTATCGTCAATACCGATGGCCGGGCATAATAAAATAATATCATATAACCTTAAAAAATACCTCCTGCAGGCCGCTAGTGTCGGAGCGATAAACGGGCGGCGCCGTTCGGTCGTGTTTCTCTCTGCCCCGTGAAAAAGACCGCGACCCCGTACCAGGTGATCCGTTCGGGTGGGGTACACTCGTTATCTCGGAAAGTATTGACGTTTTTCGGAATTTGTTTCCTCGGACATTTGAGAAACGAGCAGCTCTACAATTCTACATTCACGTTATTTCTTTTGGGGGCAAAACCCCTACTTACTTTTGATTTCCAATCGGCAACCTACATTGGAAATCCCATCAATAGACGGAGCCGTAGTTAATTAGTTAAATTGTACAGTTGACATTTTTGATTGCGTGGCGGTACGGCGCACGGCGCGGAGTGTTGGCAACGCACCACTGCTCTACTCCGGTCAGTGCTTAAAATTGGAATGTCTCGTCGGCGGCTCGACGGAAATCGAAAATTCCGCCGCTAAAAACGCCGTCTATTTACGGACGTTTTAATACAGACCGATATTTTAAAATCGAAAGTGTGCAGGCAGCGGTTTTACCACCCACGCGGCGTGGATGTCGAACAGGCGAACGTGCCCGAACGCGCTGCGCCGAACCAGTAAAGTAGTAATCTGTCGGTGCCGATTCGCTGTAAAGAGTTTTCGCCGTGCATCGAAACGCGTTGACCGTTCCGGTTCCGTTGTTCATTTCATCGGTCCGGTCCGGCCCCGATCTTAATCTCTCTTCACTGGTCCGATCCGGCATTTGCGAAACGCTAATGCGGACACACCGGTATCAGAACGAAATCATATTTTTTTGTGCACAGATCGAGAACATTGTCAGCTCTTTGCGTTGCACAGATCCGACGAGACACGACGACAATAATATAATAATAATAATAATAATAATAATTGTTATCCTTTCGATGTCGCGATACTAACACGCGTCCGATCATGTAACGAATTCGCAGGTTCCGGGACGGCGAAGGCAAGGCGTACGGGGGCGGTTTCCACGATTCGACGGTGAAGACGAACGCGGTCGGACAGCAAGGCCAGTACGGCAACGGCGACGGCTATCACACCGCGGGCGGCCAAGCCGGCGACGCGGCCAACAGTCAGACGTACGGGTCGCGGTCGGACAGCGGTTCGAACCTGGTGGCGGGCACCCCGTACCTGGTGACAGCCCCCGAGACCATGCCGCCCGTCATACACTTGCCACCGCAATACGTACAACAGGCGCCGCAGTACGTCCAACCGGCGGTGGTGCCGCAGTACGTGCCGCAGCCCCAATACGTGCAGCAGGCCCAGTACGTCCCGCAGGGCTCGTACGAGGTGCAGGCCCCGTACGACCTCCAGGGCGCCTACATGCCGCAGGCCGGGGCCGGAGGACTGTACCAGGCCGGGGCCGGGGGACTGTACCAGGCCGGCCTTCCGCAACTTCCGTCGGCCGTACAGCAACAGCCTGGCTCGGCGTTGCCGCCGTACAGCGTGCAGCTGCCCGCGTTGTCGTTGACCGCCCGCTCGCCGTCCGGACAGTACGTCGTGCCCATGCCGCCAAAACTCTACGTGGACAAACCCAACGCTACCTCGAGCAGTTAAAAGACAATAATTACTCCATTCATTATTATCCATATCACATTATCATTTTCCGTGTTGTTATTTTAATATTAAAATACTTATTATTATATTATAATATGTGATTCTGAGTTGTTTGTTCACGGGTTATACATTAAAAGAAAAAAAAAAAAGAAAGACTTACATACTTCGTTGTAGATGAGAAGTTGGGGAGGTAAGATACAGACGGGAATTTAATGTATATCCGTAAGCAACGGCAAACCATTGCTAATGAAAAAACGATTCTGAGCGGAGTTCAATTCACATAGTGTCGCTTTGTCAAAAATATGTAATAATATGCCATATTACGTTAAAACGATTACAAAAATTTGCGTTTCCGTGACAACAATGATTATTTGAAAAAAGATTAAAATAATAATAACAAAAAATAAATAAAAACGGTTGCCAACGACAACCGTTTTTTTAAAACTTGCAATCTTCTTTAATATAAATATCCAGGTTTACTTCATTGTCTCTAATATTAATGATAATTTCAAAAAATTACCCCTTTAAAGCACCACCCAGAGAACATTTCCTTTCGGAAAATATGTTGTACTTGATAATCGGAATAAGATGTTTGGTAGAAAAAGTGTTCACATAAAAAAAAGGTAAAGAAAAAAAAAATAAACATCATGGTAAAACCAATAAAATATAAAATAATATGTACATATTGTAATTGTATACATAATATAAAAAAAATATTTCGGGTAGGGGAGGTTTTAGGTTGTTCACATCGCTTTCATACTATTATAACACAGAAGTTTGCATACATTCAATATTGTAGGATTATTTATTTTTTATTAAAAATTTCAATATTTCAATATTTAACATTCATTTTTAGCCTTTTACTCGTATAGATACCGATAATAATAAATTTGACATTCAGTACATTTTTAGTGAACACATAGCATAAATGATAACGTAATTCATATTATTGTGATGATAATACGGACTATTCGCAATATCGCCGATACGGTTATAATTTTCTAAAAACAGGAAAACCACAAAAAAATTAGAAATTACTATTTCATTTAGAAGGCAATATAATATAACATTATCTTATACTAAACTGCAGGCAGAAACCAATAAAAACGAATGGAAATCGTACAACAATTTCCTGAGTTTTTTTTTTTTTTTTTAATAAGCGTTTTGAAATCGTTACTTACAGGTATAAATGAAAAAACCTCACGTATCCACCTTCTGAACATCTCACCTACAACCACTGGCCGCTCCCGTCCCCGTCCTCATCAGCGTCTTTTTTTTTTTCTGTGGACAACTTTTCTACCAATTTGTGTAAAAGGGAATTTCACTGGGTTACTTCAAAGAGGTTATTTTTCGATTTTCTCAGGAATTTTCTCAACAAATGTGAAAAACGGAAGAAAATCAGGAAACATAATGTTTATCATTATTTGTTATCTATTAGTTTTATTTTATACATTGGGGTGGGCCCACGGCACACCCGGCACACTTCGCAGATACGCCTATTTGAGAGAATGTCCACCCACAGAAGGGGATTCAATATGTATTATTATTACATAATAGTAATTCGAATACAATTATTAATCATACAAATTTCTTAAAAAAAAAAAAAATGTTAATTTACGGGTATTAAATAACGTTTTTAAATTGCATTTGAATTTAAGTGCACACCTATATTCAAAGTACCGATAGAATGTACTTTTAATATATATATTTAAATACTATAATATAGTATAATAATTCGAATAGTTCACAAGACTGCGGACCTTAACACGCGCACTATATATTTTTGTACTTTAACTCCGAGCTAATATTGTACATTATTAATTATGTATTCATTCAACAATCGGAGATTGGTTTTTTTTATTATTATTTGTTTACGACTGGACCATACGGATTTTCTTACGCCTCTGGGACAAGTCCCGTTCTCCCGGGACAGGGGTAAATCAGAATAATGTCTTCCTCTTCCGTATATCTATATCACTATAATATGCACCTAACGGGTCAACGATAAATTTTCGCAGCAGCTGAAATTCGCCATCTCCAAACTGTTTTCGACATTTTCAATGAATACAAATAACACTTTCAATAATAATATAGTGTGTCCCAACGTGTTCGACGGATTTTTCTAGCACTGTTAAATATTAAATGTTTTTTGATTTTTTTTTGTTTTTTTTTCAATCGGTTCGTCTTCGAGGGGGACATTGTTTCGGAGAAAAATTCAGTTTTTATTTTTATGCTCTAAACATAAAAAAAAAAACTTTTTATTTATTCACTTTAGACAATTTTCAAAATAGCCATTTGGTAAAAAATATTTTTCCAAACATTTAAATGTATCATACATTCATATCCGATTAATAGTTTCTTAATATTATAGCAGTTTTAATTTCTAGAAAATAGGCGTGAAAACAAATAATAATATTCAATTGAAGGTCGGTTGTAATTCCTTATCCCAAAACTTGTTATTTTATTGAAAATGAATTGTTTTCACGCCCAATTAAAACGGTTATAACTAAGAAATTATTCATCGAATATGAATGCGTGATACATTAAAATTGTTTGAATAATATTTTTTACCGAATGGCTATTTTGAATCTTTTCTAAAGTGAATAAATAATGTCTTTTTTGTGTGTGTGTGAATTTTTTTCCAAATCGATCGATTGATAGATAAATGTTTGTTTTTAATGATCGTCGTAGTAAATACAAATTTTTCGAAATCCTGAGCTCGACATTCTGAAAACCGAGGGAAAAAAAACAATACAGACACGTTTTATTCAATTTCATTTTGAAATCATCTATAATTAATCTGCAATATTCAATGAACACCATAAAGCTATACCTATTTAAATGTATTATTAAGTGTTTTATAATATTAAATTATTAGTTAATTCTGCGCGTTAACGAATAACGCAGTACAATCAGGACGTATCATCGATCAAACTGAATTCGAAACATCTAAACGAAGCAGTGTGGAAACTACGAGAAAATAAAAACAAACAGATGTAGGCTTAATAATGCGTAATTGTTACAGATTAAAATATCCTCTACGTAATATATCGACTCCGCGATCGTTGCGAAAAAAAATTAAAAAATCATATTAATCGCTTACAGTACAATAGATAAAGGTAAGCTTAATTTAATTTTAAATTCATTTCTTATCGTAATATTAAACGCGCATACGTCAAATCTGTTTTACCAATGTTATCGAATTCTCTTTAAAAACTAATATAACGTTTAAACAAATGAACAAGAGTTCAAAAGTTCAACAAACCTGCGTGTATAAGTGCATACATCAATAACATGTGATATTATCGTATTACGAGTGTATAAGTTGTAACAAAATTATATATTATGGACCCGGCGGTATACCGCGGGTATATAGTGATCATAGAAAACACGCGCAGTCAATTATTTATGAATATCCAAATTATAATTTGATTTTTTTTTTTTTGCATTAACTCGTAACGTATTGATAACGAAACGTAACCCGACAATGAGAATTTAAAAAAAGCCAGATACAAAAAAGCAAATTTGTGTTTGGAAACTTTTTATCTTCGCAACTTCCCCTGCCGAAATGTATATAATTAATAAATAGATATACGCGATGCAAAAAAACCGTACAGTTTTTCGTACGGAAATTCGTAAATAACATTTTAGAAACAAATCAAGTTACGTTATTTATGACAATTTATCAATGAACTGTAAGTTATTTTCCTAAATCGTATTCAGTGATGCAGGTGCGTTCTGGTGCGTTCATGAATCTTCAATGGCACGGCATAATCACGATTCATGAATAAATCACAAAATCGTCTTATTTCGTATCCATCGCCTGTAACCCGACAATGAGAATCTGAAAACCGTGTACCAAAAAAAAGATGCAAAATCCGTATTTGATAAAACGAAACATTTTTTTCCTCGCAACTTGGCCGATAATCTCGAGATGATATTGACAAATACGTGTATTTTACGGGTACGTACGTGCTCGTAGTGATCACGTTTTTAAACCGATTGGTGAGCGAAATAACCCCTGAACCTCGCCACTGTGCACGGCATTGGTTATGTACGCGTAGATATTTTCATTTTTATTTTTTCGGCCGGTTTAGCTAAACTTCGTCAAAATAATAACAATAGTTGTTGCGACTTAACTTTCAACATTCCGACGACATTTGCATGGCCAACACGCGTTCCACGGCGGTTTACGTACAAACGCGGGCGGTTTTCGGGCGGCGGGGCGTATACTGTGGGTGTTGAAACGGCTGCCGGTGTCTTTGTTTCGTCGAGTGCGGAATGGCCAACACTGGCCGGCGTGTTTCGCGAATTATTCAGATTAGACTTTTGACGAAAACAACACAACAGTGCATAGTGGCGTGGGATCATGCAGTCATTGTTTGTTTGTTTGTTTTTTTCACGTAACACAATAACGGATATGCCCGAGACGACGGCCGAATAAGCGTACGCCGTTAGAGCGTGAGGCACACGTTCGCCTACAATCGTATCGCGGTAAAAAATATTCGCGAGCGCATTTTACGCGCGCGCGTTTTTTTTATTATTATTATAGGCAATCAAAAGACGGCGCGAATCGCGAGAGTAAAAACGAAAAATCGTTAGGATTTCGAGGGTGGGTGTAGAGTGTACGTTAGGATGGGTGGGGGGGTGGGGGGGTAGGGGCAAATCTTCGAATATTTTTCAGAAACACCCCCGCGAAACGCACTCGTCCCCGGATCCATGTCCGACCGTCGTGCGCGTATACGCGAATACGTTTTTCGTTTTTTTTTTTTTTCGCTCGACGCAATAAAACGACAATAAATCAATCGCGCGCCGCGTATATGACGACCGCCCGGATAAATCCGCGGAGCGCCGTTCGTACCGGCCGGGCGAGCGGCCGTTTTCCGGTAATTGTATTACGCGACGGGCCCACCCCGCGTACACGTAGAACAATAATAATACGGTGCCGGCACAATATCTCGCGCGTACGCGCACGCAATTATCGCATGTGTAACGCGCCG